AGATATGCCTTTTGCTTGCTTACCAGATCTGGTGCTCTGCAACTGTGACAGTCAAAGATGGGAACTTAAATGACTACACCTTGACTGCATTTTATTTTGGTTAGTCCAGCCGTGTCAGTAAAATAAGGGGGTATAGAAACATAGACATTGGCAGAGGAGATTTAACTTGCTACCACCTCTTTGCTGGAGACTGCCACAGCCAGGAGACTGTGGGGAATGGACTGAGCACAGGAGTGGCCAAAGAGCACTCTCACTGTTCATTCCAGTAGCTTAATCCCTGTGCTCTCCCCATGGGAGTTGAGCATCCCACCAAAACTGGAGTAGCTATGGGAGCATGACTCTTCATTGTCCCTCCTGGCCAGTGAACAGATGTACGAGGGAGAAGCAAAATCTTTAGAGCCTCCTGCCCAAACCGAACAAGGAGACAATTTCTGACCTGAACAGGGAAAGTTCCTATGCTGCTGTTGCAATCACCCACACAGAGACAGCTTCTCCCCCATCAGTAAGAGCTCACAATGTTCTTTCCACCGCAGAGACTCACCTGACACCCTCATCTCCAGCCACCCAGCCAGCACACTCACTGCTGCTCCCTCAGTAACTGCCCTACCCCACCAACCCTCCACATGCATAGGGTTGCAACATTTCAGTATTAAACACATCAAGTGATCACTGAACACAGGTGCAGCTGGTCCCATCACAAGGCCTACATTTGCTCGGTACTCATTACAGCAAATACTACTCACGGTCACCAAGATCCCAATGCACTGCTGAAGGCTGCCTGGTTCTGGATACCAGGTTTCCATAAGACACTTACCTCAAGTGCAGGGAATATGGGGGTTCCCTTTTAAAAACTTCATGCGGCAAATTTCCAGGAGCCTCCTGACCCTTGGGAAGAGCTCCCATGACAACTCGTCTGTAAGGCAAAAAGCACAGGGAAGGTTGGCATTCCTCCACCAGCCCTGTTCCCTCTCACACATCCCCATCAGCCTGGCTGACTTCAATGACAGTAATTGCTATGCACATGTCTGAAGAGTGACACCAGTAATGAAACAACTAGTCCGATCCTTAAGTGATGTGTGAGACCGTAAGCAAACAAGTAACTTCAGCTACCTGTCTCAGAGGTGCTTCGTACCAAGCAGGAGCAGACAAGAGAGCTGCAATCAGGTCCAGAGCTTTTCTGGGCTTATTTTTCAGCTTCCTTGGGATGTCTTTCCCGAAAGACAAGCATGGCAGACTGCTTTTTCATGCAGAAGGGAGCATATTGCTGCAAATTATTTTAGCTCATGTGGCTCTCAGGTAGCTTCCCTCATGATAGCCATAGGCAATCCTGAATGAGATGATCTTCTTACCAATACCCTCTTGTAACAAGCTGAGATCCCTGTATGAAAAGGACTTGGGAACAGTAGCACATGGTGACGATCACAGGGAAACTTTCCTGTGGGAGTTACAGATTGGTTTGCATGGATTTCTCAAAAAAGGTTTGAGCAAATTCTTTTTTATGAGGATGCAAAGGCCCTGCAGTACACAGGCAGCTCTGCAAATATTGCTTCACTAGCATTTATTAGCCAACAAAAAGCTACAGAAATCAGACAGTATTTAATGCTCACTGTAACATTTATAAGACTTCTATTACCGAAAAAGGAAGCAAGATGCTCTGTGCAATAACCAAATAAGTGTGATTAAGGCATTTTAGGGTTTATGGTCCTCTATTAGATTAAACTGGTTTTTAAAGTCACATAAAGGTTGTGCTGTTCCATATTTCTCTTCTTGGTTTCCCCACAGGGCAGAGTTAAGACTATGCCTTATTTCTGCATTTCTTATCCTAATGGGATTGGATTTCTTTTAAGGGTAATTCTCACCCTGAGCTACTTACCCCCTTGCAAAAGTTGGTTCTGAGATAATTACAACACTCTGGTGGTGTTTGCACTGTGCCACTTACAGTAACAACGGAGTTATGCTGAAAGTATTTGCTGCGGAATTGCTCTACTTGCTTAATTTTTCAAGTGTGTTCTAGAGCTGTTACCCCTACATCCCATGCGGCCATTCGAGAATCAGTGTCACATCAGGATACCCACCGAGTAGGCACCACTACTGCCCCTGAGGTAGCACCAAGCCTTGTCTATGAGTCAGTGAAAGCTACCTCCACATCTAGAGCTGACAGAATGGACATTCATAATTTACCAAATGCACAGGAGACCAACACAAATATAAAAGTAGGTGCTTGTGAGGGGGTTGGTTTCAGCTAATTGTTCAACCATATATTACAAATCTCTAGCAAAAACTTCATGTCACAGACTTGCCTGCAGAAAAATGACCAGGTAGCATTCTACTACTGTCGCACACACTGGCTGTATCAGACCGAGGAAATTTGATGACTGCAACATGCTTACATTTGTACCTTAACTTTGCAAGCAAGGAGCGGTGCTTTTCGTACTCACAGTATGCATTTCTTTCCATGACTTACAACTCTGGGGAAAAATCCTCTAGAGAAGAAACCAAAACTTGCTCAACCAAGCACTGTTGTACACCAAATCATTCCTAATCAGAATTTTCACCAGGAGGAAATTGTGACCCATTTCTACCCATTTGCCTTTTATATTCTCCCAAATTACAACTCCCTGAACATTAGAACAAGCTTGACTCAGGAAGACATTAATTCTTAACCTGCTGACTTCCATTCACACATGCACACTCTGGATTTGTCCTCTGTGATCCAAAACAACAGCTGATGTACCTGGTCCTTCTCTTGAAGGTGTAAGAGAACTGATGTTAGGCACAAGGAGATGAGCCTGCCAAATCCATGCATGGCTAGCCTACAGCTGGTCTCTTCTTATACCAAAGTCAGGTTGATGTCCAGAGCACTGGAACCATTAGTGCTGCTGCCCAGGCTGCAAAGTAGGTGCCAGTGCCAGCTCTAGGAAAGGGAGTATCTGCTGGCAGACAGGCTGCATGAAAAGTCTAAAGGAGGAAATGCAATTAGCAAGCTATTAAGATGCCTACTAGGTAAATGAAAACACAGGTAGCGAGATTCTTTCATGGCTCTTAATCACTTTTATCATGATTCAGTAAAGCTGTATTCACAGTTGACTGGAGTCCAAGTCTTGCTGTCCATCTATCCAAATCACAGGTTATTTTTAAGGAACGCACAGAGAGGGAAGAGAAAAGAAATAGTGTACTTAATTTTGTTGAATTCTATGACAAGTGACCTTTCCCCAGTCCTCAGGAAAAGGAAGGATGGGCATGGTCCACCTTTGCTCCACAGGGTTACTTTGATTGCAAAAACATTGGTACGTTTTGGCCTGTTTTCAGTGTACGTTTCACGAGCACAGAAAGGATAGTATTTGAGTCATCAAGTCACATACTTGGAGGTTAGAAAGGATAACCAGCCAGGTCACCTGTATAGACATAATGCAGCCTTCCTTGTATGTCTGCATCATGAGCTAGCCTCTAATTACTACATTTTCCACAGGCAATTACCTCACTCAGTGTGGAGGTTAGACCGAGCTGCAGGGTGGGTTGGGGGCGGGACATGTCTCAGCACTCTGTAAGGAAGGAAGCTGTTTGCCATAGGACATCTTGCTCATTCAGCAATGTAATTCAAAAGAAGAATCATGAACAAAGCAGTGCCCTACAGGAAGAAGAAAGTTGACGGTGTAGTTAGAGGAAGACGGGTAAAAACCTGTCTTCCACTCCAGAGTCTTCTAATGACGCTGGCAAGTCTCTAGGACCAAGATTTTGGCATATAGCAGTTCCTTGCATTCCTCAATCTCTGGCTGTCCAGTGCAACACACACAGGGCTTCACTCCTGCAGTGCTAACCAGTCCCAGTACAGTGGAAATCAGGGAGCTCTCCTGGCTCTGTCCGTTCAGGGATGTGTTTATTGGTGTGAACACAAGGGCCTTCATGGCCACAATGTCCTTCGTGTTCATCCTGACTTGCCCTGACCCAGCCTGTGGTGTTCAGGAAGCTGCTCTGCCTAAGTGGCTACTCAGCCCTTCTGTGTGTAAGATAAGATACTCAATTTCTTTACCAGGTCAAGGAGGGGCAGGGGAGAGGGGGAGTTAAGTTATCAGTTTAGCTCCTTCAAATTCTTATAAAATGTTAAGGAGCTTCATTTTTCACACTTTCTCCATCTCCACTAGGGACACAAATAGCACTTAAATTTATTACACTATGGCCTCAGCCACAAATACCCACTTCTACCATGCAGGGTGATTATGAAGGTAAATCCTGAAGTATGTCTCATATACTGATATTCCAGAGAACACCGGGATGAGGCTAGGAAAGAAGGCAGTGAAGGAGGAGAATAGAAGAATATGTTGACCAGCTGTGTCAGATCTTCATCCTCACCCATTCCATGCATTTTACCTGCCTTGCTCACTATGAAAAAAAGCAAGTCAGGGATTAGGAAACTAAAGATTGCACCGTAACACATGTTCACAGTGGGGCTGGATAAAGGCACCGCTGTCAACCTGAGAATTCCTACCTTCACTTTGCAAACAAAACAGCTTTTCAGAAAGCATGCATACATTTTCATGCAGATTCAGGGAAGGAGGAAGAGCAGGAACGGAGATATTAACATACTTATATGTTAATAAGAACAAAGATACTGCAACAAACTCACTTAACATCTGTTTGAAGCCTCAGTATTTTCTGATCTCATGGTATTAAAATTAGAATATGCTAATTTTATTAAGCTACATTGCTCTTTGGCATAATCAAGGCAGTTTTATTTGCTAGCTACTATTTGTGAAATACAAAGTATTATGCCAAATTCAGTATCTAAAATAACATTTAAAATACAAAAGTTTTCCCAGGACAAATACTGCAACATCTCATTGCCTGCATGCATGTCTGTCAGTGTCTCTCTTACAACTTCGGAGTCCATTCTCTAATTTCAATCAGGGTTGACTGCAGGGTCAGTCCAACAACTCCTTTCAGATTCAGTCCCGCACTGTAGGCTTCCAGTTTCTCTGACTGTTTCATGCTCTGAAGGGTAATTTTCTCTCCATCCAAAAGGCTGGAAAACCAAGAGTTCTTGGCTATTTCTTCCTACCCATCCACAGACCAGCAGTAGACTCTTCCCCAGTCATCACCGACCAGGAGCTTGGAGGAATTTCTTGAGAAAGAAAGAAAAAGAAGAGAATAACATTTAAGAACAAGATGCAAATAGGGTCAAGGCTTTCTCCTGTATGTCTAGCAATTAGGAGGATGTAACATTCAGGGGAGCAGGTTGTCTTTAATGTTAAATTTGAAGAACAATGATATAAACAAAGATTCATACTTCAAAGACTGAATTTAGAATCAGATCCAGACTTTTATGGAGTTCAATGGGTTACTTGTGGATGATCTAGACAGATCAGGAGCTCTTACCCTTCACTGATCCTGAGAATTCACAAACATTAATTAAATCTGCTGGCCAGATTCAGAATTCAGACTTGTTAGCACATAATGTCATGGGTTCAGCCACTGAAATCTCTGCTGCATGCAGTGCCATCAACACTAATGAAACTAACCCTCCCCACCAAACTTTCCCACTTTCAATGCATATGAGCATCACACTCAAAGTGCTCTAAATCTGAGCATGCAGAATATAGGAATCATTTTAGCAACTATCAAAATGCCAACACTTTTGGAGAGAAAGACAGCAACTGTTTTACAGTACATGGTAACATCCTGAGGTAGGAGATAATGACAAATGTTACAGACAGATGAAACTGCAGGAGGGGGATTGAGTAAACTAAAGTACTGCTGGCTGTGCAAACTAAGTTGAGTTTAACAACAAAGTTGACCTTTGGCCAAAAACTTCCTGTTTACATTTTAAGGAGATAGCACCTCCAGCAACTCCTACAATAGTGTTTTTTCTGTGGTGCAGAGGCAGTGTAGCAGCTACTGATCTCTACAACTATTCTGGCCGAAAGCTGATGTTTCTCCTGGGTTGTCTCCTATCTGACTATCCCCACATCATTCACTTAAAAGAGTTAGCCAGGCCAGCTCCCAGAGTGACTGCATTTGGCTAAGACAGCGTGATTCGGTTGCGATTTTAGAAAAAACAACAACAAGAAAAAACAAAAGACAAAAACCCAGCGAAGTTCAGAACAAAATACCATAACCTGCCAGTTTAGGGCAGAGCGGTAGAGACCCCGAGGCTGGCGCGGTGCCCTCTGCTGGACACCGGCTGCAATGCAAAGGGAAGGACAGTACCTGGATACTGCCAGCGCTGTCACTGCTGGGCTGGTCTTGCTTGGTTTTCCAGTCAAGGCAAGGCTGGGATTCAGTTCCCGACAGAGAACAAGATGTTTTCCACACTTGTTACCTGTTGCGTGGTTTAAAAATAAATATTTAGAAAGTGTCTGGGGGCAGCATGGATGGGATTGTTATTATTTACGGTCAGCAAGTTGTTAAGTTGAGAACAAATATATTTAATCTCAGCCTGTGCTGTTGCAAAATAGGCCCATCCCAATTTAATTTGTGGCTATGATAGTTACATGTGCTGACGTGCGGCTGTATCAATTGTGTGCTAAATTGGATTTGTGTATTATTGCTTTCTAAATTGCATGCCTAGTTCAGCAAAATTGTTCATCAGTTTTCACGGGCTCTATGCTTAATAAGATGCCCCACAATACCTTGCTGCCAGGATATAATACAGCCCATAATTGCCTAGTAAAAAGAAATTACATAAAGCCCTGGTATTATCAACTTATCTAAATCTGCTCATAACAGAACCAATAATTAAATGCCGAGCACATTTCACATACACACACATACATACACACACCCCCAACAACATAACTCAATCATAGTTACTTTGGTCTTTTTAATGACTGTGTTTTGTATTAATTTTATTTTCTTTAATGCGTAGAATGAGATATGGGAATATTTGGCCATTTGAAACAATTCTGAAGGCATCTGAATAGTTTAAGGGAGCATGTCACTGCTTTGATTATACCTCTCAACTCTTTAATAAAGAATGCTGTTGCTGTATGCATCTGAGAACATGCATCCTTATGTTCATGTGTGAACAGGTGTGTCTGTCAACACATCACCAGATGCCTCGTCAATGCTTGTCTTCTTTTATGATCCTCTCTGAAAAAGGCACAAACAGGAGTATTCTGCTGTGCTCCCATGGGCAGCTTTTAAGTCCTAGTTTGGAGAACTGTTTAAGACATACATTTTAAAAACAGCTAAAATCTCAGTTTGCTCGAAGACATTCCTATGCAATTGTACCTAAGTAAAAAGGACATGGAAATAAATTCCACAGGAAGTTACAGGCAAGAATTGAGGAAATTCTTAAAACAAATTGGATGTTTGTACATGTAAAAAGAATCTGCAAAATGACTACATAATACTACAAGGATTTTGGAAGGAATGTTAAGTCTTTTGCTTTGATTTACAGCAATCTGATTAGAGACTGCAATGAAACCAAATATGTAGCTACCACAGCCAGACTATTTCACATCTGGCATCTCTGGTGTTCTTGAACCTTCCCTAGAAGCATCTGGCTCTAGCTACTCTCAGAGACATGACAAAAGGTCGGATGGGCATCTGGTTTGGCATTTCCAGTATGCCTCTGCATGTATAAATATTTTCACATAGCAATTTAAGTAATGTAGATGCTAAGTTACATGAACAGCACTTCTGAAGATCTCAGTGGTAATGTCCAATTACTGTATAATATCTTTTTATGCAGATGTTACATCTATAGCTCTATATTTATGCAAATTGTGTGCCTAAAATTGAAGTAATAGAGAATGTCTGTAATGAGGATCACAGCAAATAAGTGGTGTAAATTATACATACTAACAGCACAATTCCTTTCTCTTATAAAATGTGCTGTGAAAAGAAGCAAGCTGTGCTATTTAGGCTGTGCCTTTAAAGCTCCCTGGCAGGTTTCAGCTCCTGTATTTGTTTGAACAGAGAAGTGAGCTTGAGTTGTTTTTAATACCAGTCAGCACTGTAGCCCCATCATCTTATTAACCTCAGCTTTGTGAGAACTCCAAGGTATCAGCTTCAGCTTGGCACAGCCTTGAATAAACAGCTCCATGCACTAGGGTCTGCTGCTGGCCTCCCACCAGTTTGAAGGGCCTCTGACCTCATTTAAGGTGGCAAAGGCAACAAACTTCCCTGTTCCATCCCAGGGCAGGATCTGGCACTGCCCACTCTGACATTATGCCAGGATACTTTAGTACAGGCCATCAGCAGAAGTGCCAAAGGAATGGGCTTTCTGGAGCCAGGATAGTTCATTAGTTTCACAGGTTTATGCAGAAAGGTAGTCTATCAAGCTTGACAGAACCCGTGGCAGAGCCTATGAAGAAGCTTTCAGCTTCATCCAGGCAGGATGTGCCCTTGAGACTGGTGGCTCAGGGCTCCTCTCTGTCTCTAAGGTAGGGCAGTGGCTACTCACTACTTCTGCTGCTGGTTACAGTAACACCACACCAGTTACCCGCACCATCTCCCCTTCACACCACTGTGCCCACACACCCTCTTCTTGCTCACAACCAAACAAGGCCTGCAGCACACAGTCACACTGCAATTCACAGCCCACCCTGTGGTCATACCTGTGTTGCCTGGCTCCTCCATCACGCCTCTCTGCGGTCTTAGTCCAGCAGCTTTGCCTGGGGTATTGGTGTATTCAGTCTTCCACAGCTGTGCCAGCAAGAAGGTAAAAATGGGAAAAGCATGGATTATAACAATGCAACAAGAGAGAGATGTGCCTGTCTGCTTCCCAGCAAGGGGCGGGAATTGGACTTCTAACATCAGAACAGGATTTCACAGTTGTCTCTCCCTCTACCACTGTGCTGCAGGGTGTCACACTGGAGAAATGTATGCAGGGAGCTGGTGGGGTTGTGGGGCTGACACACTAACGAGGATCTCAATAACCCAGGAAGCTCTCCCACCAGACTGGAGGCAGAACCAGCAGTGACCTCCTGCTCCTTAGAAAGTATGACTTAATAAACTGAGCTATCAGCCAACTCTCAGAAACCAGACTCAAACATATTTCCAATGGGCAATATAATTTTTGTTTTCAAAATCACACCAGAATGAAAAGCACATTTTCAAAACTCTTCCTGAATGGCCAAGACTCCTCCATTCAGGAGGATAAAAGTTGATAGGATGCAAACATTTTACTCTGATTTTCAGCTTCTGCCCTGTGCTGCCCTGTAAAGAAAGTGGCATGGGCTTTTAGTAGCTCTGTCACTCCATTTAGGATGCAAAAGTTTGCTTCTAGTCTACAGTGAATCAGGATTCCTGTTCCTCTCCCCCATCTACCTACCCTCACCACTCCATCTGTGCTTCCTGTGATGATGATGCTGCATGTGTCCCAGTCCATCACTTCAGCAAAGCAGCAGCAAACAATATGGCTTTCAGGTCTGCAGGTGGTGTTAATGCTTGCAAGAAGCTGGCCATTGACTGTCCACAGATATAGGTAAGATCCAGCACAAGAGATAATAGCACCCTGTAACAAAGCAAGAGGCAATGTTTCAAGATCCTACACTCATCCTCCTCATAGCTCCTAAGTGCTGATTTTACATTACAGAGTCGCTCTGACTTAAATTCTGACCTTTGTTTTCCTTCTGAGCAGATGATTTAAACCAGAGAGAGTAAAAAATGACATTTTTTTCTCATGAAAAATTCTGACATTTTTACATTGTAGAAACCCAAACCAACTGTCTCAGATTTATCAAGATAATGCAGAAACAAAGGGGTTTTTGCATTTTGTAAAAGAAAGCATTTCTTTACATGTTCCCTTTCTCTTTTCCAGAAAATTTAGGCTTTTAGTAAAAAAGCAGACTGACAGACTGACCTGGATACTGCCAGGGACAGGCACTGCGCACAGGCAATGCCTAGCACAGGTTCTAGGCCAGGACTAGTGCTCTTTTAAGTTTTACAAATAAGCATTCTCTTAAACAAGGACATGGTGTTCACCTGCTTAGCTGCAAAGCCTTTGGTGATTTCACAATCCTCCTCTGCCCCTCACAGGGAGCTTAATGTCATCGCATTTTTAGACTGTGTTTTGCATTTGACCAATGACCAGCTCAGCATTCAGTGAGCTGCACTTCTGATGCAGAGAACGTCCTTTGCAACTGAATCTCTCCTCTCCCTTCTGTGCAGGTGCATAGTCTTACCACAGACTGCACGTAAGGAGCAGATACACAGGTAATCCCTTAGGGGCAAGAAACACAGAACCAAGAGCCAATGGTGCAATTTTAAATTATCTTATCAAAAGTGCATTTTGATCAAGTTACTAATTGAAATTCCACCTGACCTTTCCACCCTTTGCCTACTAAGAACCAGCTAAACAGAACACTATCAGCAAAGTCATCTGATTCTGGCAAAGGCCAGTGTGCCCTTAAATTAGCAGCATGCACCTGGTTTAAATCAACTAACACAGTACTTCACCCCTGCCTCATCTGGGGCCAGGGCTCTTCACACTGCAGGGCAGAATTCTGAAGATAAAACAAGGATAGTGCATTCAAAACAGAGTTGCCAATAATTAAAGAGATTAAATTTCAGCTACGTTATCTGCATGAGAGTACGTAATGTCCAGGCATTTGGTAATGATCTACAGTGTTTTTCAGGTCAGGGATTTAAAACTAACTGAAATCATTTGTTACAGCAAGCTTTTACAATCCTCCTTAGCCTATAAACTTTTTGGGACAGCCTTTTTATTTTGTGTCTACGTGATACAAACACCATGAGGTTTGGATCTATAAATGGAGCTTCTAGATCCTCAAGCAAATATAAAAACCAACAATCACATAACAAAGATCTGCACAGGGTTCTTATTTCACAGAAAAGTATGCAGTTCAGAAATTTGTTTCCTTCAAAACTTTACTTCAAAACGTTCTGAATTTTCCAGGAAAAAACCTTGTTACCAAACATGTACTTTTGTGTCAATCAAAATATTTAATTTAGCACAATGGAAACATTTTGTTTCTATCTTCATGTAATAATATATAAATATATATAGAAAATTTAAACAAAAACACATTTCAGAATTAAACATCCTGTTTTGCTAACGTCAAAAAGAATTTTTTTCATCCACAACATATGGACCCTTTCATCTTTTTTTCCTTGAAGTTTCAGTCATACTTTCCTAAGGTTTTTCCTCTTTTAAATGAACCTTTCTGCAGGCTCTTGTCCAATCAGTTTAACCATTTGCATGCCAAAAAGCTGGAGAACTGCTCTTGGATCAATCACCAGACTGTTCCTAGCACAGACCATCTTGGTTTTGGATAGCTCCAGAAGAGGAGCTACCAACTAAAAAGGCTACCAGCAGTGGTGGGCTGGTACATAGAACGAAGAGGACTCCATCCTCTTGGGGTCTCAAGCCCATGGTCTGTGGCAGCTCACCCACTCATTTCTGAATGCATGGCACTGCTTCAGCTGACTTCATAGGGAACCACCAGGGTGTTCTGAACTGGCCTGCTGAAGCCACTGGCCATTTTACACTAACCAGGATCCCTGGGGCTGGGAGCTGAGCTGGCACTGAACAGACTAATTCCCACCCTCAATTGCTAACCATCAGACTGCATGGTTAATAAAGCTCTGATATGAGATGACTATTTTTTCACAGACTAAGTAGAGAGTGTCTGCCTGGTTTCTTACTGCTATGGACTCAATTTTGCCTCTCTTTGTACAAGCTCTGGTACTGGATCCAACCTTGAATTGTCTGAGTAGCTGGAATCCTGCTCCAGTATATGAACAGAGACAGAAAATACAAATGTGCAAGCAACATTTTTGGGAGGTAGAAGGCTGGAAAAAAAATCTTATCCAGAGTGTTTACAGTAAAATCCAATACAGAATATTTTCCTATCAACATGCATGCAATTCTGGCTGGGCACATAGACTTATACCCACTGCTATCAAGAGCCCCCCCCTGCCCCCCACCTGATAGTAGAAGGGAAAGTAAAGCCAACATTATCACCACAAAGGTGTAAGGAAGTTATCAGCTGAGGCGGCAGACTGAGGTCCAACATGTCTCAGCTAACATGGCTCTGCTGCATGAATGTCAGGAGAAATTAAGAAAACAATGGAGGCAATAAGGTTGTGGGTGAGCCAAATCCAGGAGCTACTAGGGTAATACTTCATCCTCCATAAACTAGAATTTGTTTAATCCTGCTATCTACCCACCCAAAGATGCTTCTACTTAGCTACTCAGTCTAAGACGTTGCTTTTAGTGCTTGCCTCTCATCATTAAGAACACTATTAGCAATCTCTGTAGAAAGAAAAAAATCAATGTATCAGACTCTCAGGATGTTTTTATGTTGGGAAGAGCACCCATTAAATTATCATGAAATGTTCATGGATACATCAGAAGAAAGATGATAAATGAAGATCTTACTGTTGAATTGTTGATGGCAACAGAACAGAGGCTTGCCTCGTGGGCAGGAAGCTGGTTTATGTACGTCAGCTTGTTCAGGTCCCAAATGATGCAGGTTCTGTCATCGGATCCACTCACAAAGATGCTGTAGGTCATAGATGCAGCAAGGCAGGTCACTGCCTGAGTGTGCCCATATAAAGCCTGGTGGGGAAAAAGCAACCAATAAACCACAGCAGAGGGTGGCTGATTTACTAGGGAACCACAATCCTACTGTCATTTGCTTAGTAAGAACAAGCAACATAGTCATTCCTTGGATAGCTGAAAAAGGTATGAGGGGGAAATCCCAAAGGATCCTATGGAAGCATCCTTGTCCTCAACTTGTGGTTGAGGAAAGCTGAGTCTCCAAGAGATTAAATGATTTGCCCCAAGCTGCATACTAACTCAGGGCCCTTGGCATACATTTTAGACTCTGTGACAGTGCTTTGTGTTTAGCAACAAACCATCATTTTTCACTTCAGTCCATGAAGTTTTAAGTAAAATTTATGCTTGGAAATTACTATTTCTCAATATTTAAAAAAAAAAATTTGAAACAAAACTTATCAGGATGTATTTCAGTGACCTTCCCCAGTCTTTTCTTTCTGTTTTCCTGAACAAGTACTAATATTTTTCCAGTTTTACTTAAGAAGAAAAACAGCATTTGGGGATAATTTTTGCATAAAGCCATATATGAATTCCTTTCTCTTTCATCATTATTCAACATCCTTTTTTTGTTGTTGTTGTTTTATAGGTTCTAGAGATGTAAGGAGTGCCCAGTTTAATTTAGCCTTAAATAGTTTCATACAAAAAGACTACACTTTAGGCAATTAAATCACACAGATAGAAATCATGAATAGAAATATACTGATGACAATTGTTTAATGCAGCATTCTCAAATGACAGCAATATAAATCTCTGCTGCATAACCATCAATGACAGTGAAGTCTGTAGGGTAATAGAGAAAAAGTCCTTCACAGCTTTCCTAAAAAGCCTTTCAGGGCTCATTTTTTAGCTGCCTTACTGTGAAAAATCAGACCCACCAGTTTTAATCCTGGTTTTAACAGTAAATGCATATTCCCTGCTGGCTTCCTCTATGTGACATAATTAGCACATCTTCAGGGTCTGTCTCAGTTCAGCATGGAGCAGGAGAGCCACATGTCCTGGATGATTTTTGCAAACACATCTCATACTCTTTTCCAGCGTGTGACTGCGAGACTGAACTCTCACTGGCTAACGTGCTGCCACTTGCCAAGGTTACTAGGACAATAATATTCAAACATTAATCTACTGATGAAGAAGTCAAGCTGCAGCAGGCTATGTACTACTGAAGGTGACTTGCAACTGCAAGGGATGAATTTCAGCTTGTGATTTATTCCATTCACAAAAACTGTCAATTAAAAATACTGGCACAAAATGGAGTCTCCAACAGTGGTTTTCAGAGGTCAAAAACACTCTCAACTAAGCACAGAAAAGGAGGCTCAGCAATAGCTTTGCCCTGGCTGTAGAACAGTCTCCTTAAAAAGGACTGGGCATAACCCTGTGCCTGTGCTCGAGAACTGCACCAGACCTCTGCAAAAAGGGCTGGGACAAGGCAGGTTCAAGGGCTCCAAATTTCCTCTCCTTCCTCCAAAGCACGAAAGAAAATGTACCCACCATGACAGCATCCAAACTGCCAAGTCAAGCCAAGCTAAGCTCCTGCACAAGTTTTAATAAAACCCTTTTTTTCTTTTTTTTTAATCCAGAAAGATCCTACCTGGCAATGAAGTGATTTAAATACAAGCTGAAAGTGGAAGAGAGGGCTGGACCTGAGCCCAGTTATAATCTCAGCTTCAATCCACCAGTGTCTCAATGCATATTCATGCAAAAACAGTCACATACTTTTAGCTCTCTACCATCTTCTCATTATTGCTCTGTAAAGATAGACAGGTTTTCCCTCAATGGGAAATGTCCTGCAGCATATCTGCAGAAAGAACGGTGAGGCCTATCTCCAGAGTAAATTCACAAATATCAAAAGACAAAAAAGAAGACCAGTTTCCGTGTAGGAATGCTTAGTCCATGAAAACTTAAACCAAGTTTGGTTTAAGTTTAAACCATCCAACTTAACTGGCTGACATGGACACAGACACTTCACAGCTACACTTAACACCTCCCTGAGAGATCTGTGTGGCAGACAGCACAGCTTGCCCAGATGCTTCTCCCAGTCTAGTGTTTCATTTGGCCCAGAAATTCTGGGGGCTGGATTGCATGGATCACTCTGCTCATGAACACTGAGGGAACTGGTAAATTGCATGGATCAATACTGAGGCTATTATGCTCAGTCTTTAGTGTTCCACAAAACTGTGGAAGCAGTCCCTGCTAGAGAGGGAAAAGTGACTTTTTCTGCTGAAATATAGTTTCTGTACTTTACTACATTCTAAACCAGAATGTGTCAGTCCCATGAGACAGCTGGTAAGTGAATAGCATCCACTTTATAGCACATCAGCTTTACTTAAGCAAAGCTCACTCTCTCAGGAAAGATGATACAATTTTTTTGTTCAGCAGAAAAAGCAGCCACCATGAAGCAGTGAATTACATGAAAGCAGCAAGTAATTCACTGGAAGACATTTAGAACCATAGTTCAAATTTACATCTATGCCAGACAGTCATTAAAAAAAAAAGCCTCTGCTGGCAAAGAGAAGGAAAAAAATACAGAATTTGTCATTGCATGATCTCATGCCACTTTGTGGACTTTGGGTAGTACTAGATTAATCACAGTGAAACACATCAGCAAAGCTGATTTTAGATTGTTAAAGAGAAAGGCATTATATTGGAGATAAAAGACAGCCTCTTCAAACGGTTGCCTGAAACTCAGACTGACCCCCTGACTTCTATCATTTTGATGTTGATGAAGATTACTGCTTATGCTTTTCTCTGTTGCTATTTCTTCCATTTCTATGTCCATGTCCTGGTTTGGAATAATAACCAGCTGGATTAAAAGGTCATCACTGAAGATCTTGTCTCATATTTCTGGCTTCTTCTCAAGCAGGAAACATCATAAACCTCAGAAGAGACACTGCTCTAAATACAGTTTCCTCCCTAATTTCAACACACAAGAATTTCAGATAAATGAAGATCTAAATACTTCTCTGGCATCCCAACAGACATTGAAGTTTTTACATCTTTTAATGACAAATAGAATATGTTTTGGCTCAGGCTATGGAAAGCACTGAAATATCATCTGAATACCCCTCCAGAGCAAATGAACAGAAGCAGCTTCTAACACCCGAAGACCTTGCTGAGCAGCGAACCCTTTATTAGTTTGCCTAAAAGTAGCACAGCATTTTCTGTCTCTTGATTTCTTAGGGAAAAAGGGTCCCATGCTGCCTTTCAGGTATGATAGAGGTGTATTCTAGCTTTATTTGTAAAGCTGAGAACTCACTGTAGCTGAACCACACAAATCTTGCATGAGAATTCACTTTTGTAAAAGAAATAGCATTTATACAGGTTTGATGACTATAGATAAGCTCCAAATCGACAACCACTAAAGGACTTGGGACAATGAGGACACAAACTATGTCATTCTTACTGGATGCATCCCTACCTCATGGAGTGACAGATAAACCTTTTATGTTCTGAATTCAGGTAGAGAGAAAAGAATCAAGAGCTTTGCCTAGCTGAGCCTTCATCTCCATCAGCTAAGTTCGCAGGGTGTTTTGGAGATCCTGTCCATTGCTGTAGCAGCCCAAAAAGAACCATAAGCATCTCCAGGTGATACTGGTTTTTGAAAATAATCCAAGGGTTGGCTGCACTTCAAGTGAGGAGAGCATATGCCTTATCTTCCCTGTTTCCTTGATCATGATAAACTTTGGAAATACTAGCAAGGGGGGAAAAAAAACCAAAACCAAAACCAAAAAAAAAGCAGAGTTTATAATTATATAAGGCACATTATCAGCTCCTGACCTGATAACAGGCTGTCACATGATACTACTGATTATTGGTTTTTTCCTGCCTTCTTGATTCACCCAAAGGTGTTTCCTCTGCCAGTCATTTGAAAGAAAGAAACTAATTTTTGGTTTTCATTAAGTTTCTATACCAAAAGGGCCACAGTACTGACCTGTCTCAAGTTTAGACATTTCACTTTGTCCTTGACCAAGGAAAGTTCCCAGACACACACAACTGAGCTTGTTCCAGATGTGATTATGGTAGTTGCTGAAGGACACACAGCGCAAAGGCACTTTCCCCAGTCTGCCATGCACTCAAATGTAGTCATGTTCTGTACAAGAAAGCAATTGTTAGTCAAATGCTCATCTGGTGATACCATGCATTTATTAATACCAAATGGCAGATTCAATTTTCAGAACTGAGCCTCCATTTCCTCAAATCCAGGAAAGAAAAGCTCATCTTAACCAGTCTCTATGGCCACAGCACGGCTGCATAATATGTGCATGCACTGGCTGTGGCTGCATGCAGCTGTCCCATCCTCCTCGGCCAAACAGGAAGGCTGGACAAAGGTCAGTGTCTTGTGTCTTAAGAGACCTGAGTCCCAATCCTTCTTGTGCCACAGACTTCCTACATAACTTCAAGCAAACTCATTCTGCCACCATATAGTGGCAGAAAAGTTTACGAAAGCAAACGTTCAATGTAGATTAAAAAGAAGGCTCAGGCTGTGGCAGCCACTGCTAACAGAGTTAGTGCCAGGCTCTGCAACCTTCCTCTTACTTGGATTGAAAAGCCAAAAGCCAAAGCACTATATTCCCTTCTGTGCCAGCGGCTCTGTTAGCAGCACCTAAACCAAGGTCAGGTCTATTACACATTGCTACAATTATAGCACAAACATCCTCCTGCTCACATTCTAATTGAAATCAATGGAGAAAACTCTCAAAAATTTTATACAGGGAGCAGAAAGTAAAATACATCTCATGGCTTTTTCACTTCCATTGACTGTGGGTGTATCTGTAAAAACATAATGATGTGGCTTCCACAAATACCCAAGTCAGTATCTTGCTAAATGATGTATTCTGCTATTCTGGTACCCAAACTAACTCAGATGCCTTTGCATGTCTCAACATTGTCCCAAAAATATAAAAAAATCAGTCTATTTGTGGTAGAGGAAGAAACTGGATCTGTCAAGTGCCCCAACAAGCAGTGTGATGACATAGACCGTTGATTTTTAACAGCAAAGAAGAGTATTAACTTTCTAGAATAGAAGACATTATTATTTTGAATGAATGCACTGGGCTAAGCTTGGGAGCCAGAGGGGAATTGACAGATGGTCCTATCTTAATTCCAGCAGAAAGTTCTGCACAATGAAATTTCTAATCAGTGGCCAGGAGACCTTGTATTGTCCTTACAACCTATGAAATGGGGTTTCTCCTTCATTTTGATGTAAAACACAGTCACTGGAAGGAAAAATTGAGATAATTTAGAGGGGAAATGCCTCATTTTTCAGCAGTGTAGAATGACTTGTACTCATTGGGATATCCAACTTGAGATTCCTCAAGAAGCTTGACTATGAGAAAGTCCTATACAGCATCCTCTGAAATCAGCTTCCCGACAGCCTCTGAAATGGATGCCCAAACCAGCCAAAGACCACACATATAATTCACTTCTGGAATGCTTACACTTTTTCTTATTTACCTTCTCAGACCCATAGTTGCCAAAGCAGCAGGTGAAGTCCTCAAATCCCCAGCAGAAGGTTTTGCTCCAAAGAGGAGGAATCAAAACTTTATTTTTTTCAACAGCCAGAATGCCTTTCTCAGTATGAACAATGTGCCCAATAGCTCCCTTGGGATAGTCTGACAAGACAGAGAACATATTTAATTCTGTTGTTTTTAGACACTTATGTTAACTTTCCTCCTTGCACAGCTTGTGTGGTGAGGCTGGCAAGTCCCACAACTGGGCTCAGTGCTGTGGCCCAGCCCACAAACAGAATTCCACTCTACAACTGAGATTCCAGACAGAATAGTGGAAACACTTCTCTCCAATGGACCACATAAATCCATGCAGAGAGAGTGACATGCTCCAAAGGAGGGGCTTTAACAGCAGTATCATTAAGCTCCTTTTCATTGGCAGACTACCTTATGCCATGCACTACAGAGGATGCTGGGCATATCACCAACAGTCTCTGTAGTACAGCTATGGGAGCCCACTGTCCCCACAAAGAACTGTGATGTAAAGAACACCATCATGGGATGAAAAAGTAGATATGCTGAAATTTTCCAGTCTTCTTCATAGTAAAAAAAGCAACAGACTAAGAAAAAGATGAAGAAAAAGAAAAGGTTTGAAGATTGAGAAGTGGAGAAAGACAGACAGTATTTACTTTGCTGTTGAATATAAAAAGAGTGAGAATGGAAAACAGGGAGCTTTATGTTTCAATTTAACATATTCGGAATGTAGAAGAGAGAAAAGATTTAGGTGTCTTTTACAAAAAAAACCTGTTCTGAACTCTGCATCAGAAGTTTCAAGATTTCTCCTCAGTATTTGAGTGTTTTCAATGCCCACTCACAATACACACATATACAAACAATTGGCAGAAGGGATCTTGATTGTACCGATTCATACAAAGCTGTGTGACTATTTTCGTGCCCTTGAAAACCCACATTCATCCCATCCAAGAATTGTGCACTTATTAGCTCAGAAAATGGAGCACAGCCCCTGCGGCACCTTTTATTGTAACTGGTGAGAGCTTCAGATTTTGCAGGCTGCTCATAAAAGGGGGAAGAATTCCACTTGAGTGAAGGGACAGCACAGTCTCTCTCCCTGATGAACTTTTCCCTTGGGCATATTGTGAAGAGCTAGAACAAAGGAATAGCATTGAAAAATGAACCTCAATTTGCCAGATCATGCAGGAGAGATACCTGTTTAAATCCTTAATCATAGACTCCAGGACTGTCATACATGAACCTTTTCATAAAAATAAAATCTTACCCTTATTACATTTTCACCAGACTACATCCCTTCCTCACAGAGACAGGAAGCTAATCCCAGCGATTCAGGAGAAGAGAGAAAAGTATAGGGGAGACTTTGAGCTGCTTTTATTTGATGGTATCCATTCCCAGACTAGTGGTTACTCATGTGACTGTACTGAAGGAGCAGAACTCAGATTTGATGCCACAGCTGTATGGCATACAACAGGAACAGAATGATTAGAAAGTGGAATCACACACATGTATGTGGGTGCATACTGATGTACTACACAATATGGAGAAGTCTATACCTCATCTTTCAGCAGATTTAAATCAGAAAATGCCTCTGATTTAAGTTTCTGTTCTCGCTTTTCAGTAGAAATCAAAATAAATTATGCTCTCTACTCTCAGGATAAAGTGGTACCTGCTTTGGTATCTGTCCGAAGTTGCTGATAAAACCCAGGATGGTGCTCTTAATCAGAGGATCTTTAATGTTGTTGAGGTCCATCTTGTCTCCATAGAAGTAAGGGTGATAGGTGTTAACTGCCTCCACTGCAGCTGGGCCATGTTGCTTGTGGCCAAAAATCAGATCTATCCAGCGATGGAGGTGTGCACTGACATAGTCACTTTCCAGTGCCTGACACCAAAAGAAAATTAATTAATTCAGCAGAGTATATCCATTACAAATGCATTACAACTTTCCAATTCCTGCTGGAGACTTAAATTCTCTGCAAGTGAATCTTCACACTTTCAGTTCCTCCAGTACCATCATTCTCAGCACATCCTGACAAAATGCGATCAACGAGATGGAGGGTGGTTCCCCACAGGAAAAGGAAGGGCAGAGTGCAGCATGCTTGACTTAGCAGACACCAGGAGCAATATCCTCAGAGACAACACAGGCAGATTCCACTAAGCAGAGTGCAAGCACTCCACAGATCTTGGCACATCCGCCAGCTTCCGGCATACATTAAAGCCTGCGCTATTATGTCTTCACCAATACCATTACTGACACAAGATGGTCTAAATGAGCAAAACGTTTATTAGCATTTGGTATCACCACTTTGCTCTATAGATAAACCACAGGTGAATTAAGGTACTAGCCTATTTGTAGAAATATGCCTTAGTTATGAATTACACTGAGCAGCAGAGACTTTATTTGAGAAGATACATATAAATATAGATTGGAAAGGGAGATGACTAGCAGAGGGGCTTTAAGTTGGGTCTGAAGGATACAGCAGCAGAGGCTGCATCCCATGAACCAGCAAAGAGAATGTAGAGTTTGTACTGAAATGGCAAGGGGTGTTGCAAGCCAAGACAGGGAAGAGGTTTTGGAATAGCAGATTTGGGGTGCAGCAGGGCAGCTGTATAACAGAAGCTTCAAGACTGCTCAGGTTTGATAAAGAAACATTTTGCTACCCTCACAGGGCTTAAGCAGAGAGAGTCGCAGCACCAGATTTCCTCATCCTGGAAAAACTCAGGGTCTGAACTCTTTTCCCCAAAATAAGAAATGGTTAACTTTGAATAGGTTTGTCACCCATAGTGACAGGTGTGTGGATTAATGGAACCGGAAGAAACAATTACTACTGGAGAAGACTGGGAGAGATGCTACAAGGCAATACATCCACCCCAGTGTGGGCTCCCTAGAAAGCTCAGTGTATCATAGCGGAAAACTTGTGCTTGGAAGACCCAGACAGCAAATTCATAAGCTGTGGACACAAGTTTGAGTTGAACCTTTGTCCACATCCAGGTTGGCCAGCCTTACCCATGAGGCTTCACTAAATGCTACTGCCCCTGCCATCACCTGCCTAACCAAAGTTTTGTGCATTCCCAAAACGGCCTTGCCCAATGATTCAAGCAGCAGTGTTAAGCATTATTAAAAATACTTTCCTATCTCCAAATCATTTGACTGTGCAATGCTCCCTGATGCTCAGTTAAAGGTCTCCCAAGCAGACTATCCCACCCAAAGCACAGCAGAAATAAACAAGCTAATGGGATCCTGAACAATGGCTCATTTCACAGAGCAGACAGTTAGCCCAGTGCAGCTGGTTTAAATGACCCTGCTCACAGCTATAACGATCACAGGGCAGCTCAGAGAACAAGCACAGCATACAATCTGTCCCCTGCAAACAACAGGAAAACACTTACGAACAGACTCAGAACTCATCCTCATTAATAAAAGCAGTTAGTCCATGAACTATAAACTGCAAATTTTGCCTGGCATCACGGCCAGAGCAAAACAAAGCAACCAACAGAGCTGCAACTGTGCAGCCTCTCAGTATTTCACTGAGCACTATGACAAGCCAAGCCAGGGAGGGAGAACTTGTGGTCTCAGGAGGAAGCAAATTTCTTTAGTAGACTAGATTCCTAACTTATTAAACATGAAACAGGGAGCTACTCACAGTTTTATGTCAAGAAAATTCTTTGCTCTCATATTCTTTAAAGCAATAGCCAAACCTTAGAACAGTGTTGACCTGGATCTGTTTAACGCACCAAATTCACTGTGAAACCTCCTAAATGACCATGATACCAGTAACAAGTACATTCAGTCTTGTGGATGATTTCAGAGGAGGCAGAAACCATCATGTTTCAGAATTCAAGATCTCTAACTCTTCACCTCAGGGTTAGATGAACTTTCCCAAGCAGACTAATCAACTTTCTTTCCACAGCAAGATTTCTTGCACCCTCCTCTGTAACATCTCATACTAGCTATGGCTGGAGAGAGAATATTGGACTGACTGCACGTGAGCTCTGATGAGGTCTCACAAATCATTAAGAACACGAGTTTATAAACACGATCTTTCATTTGCTAAACTGCTCCTATTTGAGATTTGGATTAATTTGTAAAAGTTGTGTGACTTTATCAGTTGTGCCAATGTTATCAAATAGTGCAGCTCAGTGGAAGCAGATCTGTAGAACAGAACAGATGGTAGAGAGGGCCCAGTACCCACATTATGTGCACTGTGGGGGCTTTACTTTAAACTAGGTCTAGTCTGCTCCCACAGGCTGAATGTCACCAGCAGCTGGAGTGCACAACTGGAGTGCAGCTTTTGGTTTCGTTTCATTCAAAACAAATCTAATTCACACAATCTGAGATCACTCTACAATAAGAGGAAAATGATGCTATGCAGGGATGATTGATAGATTCATTTCCAAACTGCACCCTTACTCCAAAGTACAAGGTGAAAGCAGATGCTCCCCATTGTATCTAAGTGCCTTTGGAGTGCCCACCATTCACAAGCAGTAAGGAGCACAGGTCAGTACATTACACTCCAATCAAGCCACAATATAAAAGACAGCATTTCTTCCTAAATGTTTTTCTTTAAAAAAACATCAGTGTAAAATTGCAGCAGCTTTCAGGCATCCATAGATTTCTGTTTGCAGCACCTCTGTTAAGGAAGGACAGTGTTGTCTTTCCCATGCTTGGGAAATGGGAGAACAGAAACTAAGCACCTTGGAAGGTCACAGACTGAGCACGAGACAGAGCAGAGAAAGGAACCAGAGCATCCCAAAACCTACATGCCTTCATTGGAGTCACTGGGGAACACCAGGGAACTGTTGCATGTTTCACCTCAGTGGCCAAAACCTATTTGCGGTGGGTAGCGCTGAGTTGCTTCCCTGCAAGGGGAGGGATTGGGCACTCCCTAGGCTCAACTCTTCAGTTCAGCAAGGACTGTACTTTGGCAGAAAACCTGCAGTGCACACAACACTTACCTACACAAGGATCTCCTTCCTTGTAGTAGATGTATCACCATGTGGTTACAGGCACTGATAAAAACTCAGGTGTCTCTTCCCTTCCACTACCTTTCAGTGTGACTAGAGCTCTGAGCCTCTAAACCACTCTCTAGGCACCTTCAGAGATGCCTGACAGTACTACCTGTTATTGTGTATGTACAGGAGCTTAAGCAATCCGAACGCGGCTCTTAGTCTCTCTGCATCTCAGTTCTTTGGCAAAAACATTCTTTCCTTATAGCCTCAAGCTAATAGGTTGCAAACAGGCATGGGACAGAGTCTGATTGAAAAATGGAAGTCAGATTTTGGGGGAAATTCAGACACTGAATACTGTTTTCTTTCCAAATCAGAACAAAAAGCCCAACTCTCAATTTTCTCATGTATTAAAATCCTTCCCACCCAATTCTATATTTGGAAAAATTACATCCTTGTATTTTACTAATAATGAAGCTATATACCATACAATATTAGTTATAACAGCTACACCATAAAATATTTTCAGTTCAGCCTGTAATCTAATATAAACATTGCAATGAAAAGACCATTTTGAAATGTTTTGATAACAAAGACAGAAAGTTGAAATGGTGTATTGACACATTTTCTTGTTAGTACTGACACACTCCCAGTTCAACCTGGCCAGTTTTCTGGTGAAAAACTCTTCTGTACATTTTTTTCCCAGACAGGTCTACTCACTGTGTGCTTGTCAGCCCAGTAATACTGGGCTGTGATCTGAGTTACACATGTAACTGCTACAGAAATACAAGGTAAAACAAAGAACAAGAAGATTAATATGTAGCTTCTGTAAAGGGACTGATTGGTTACTGAATATGCTGTGAATTCAATGTACTGGCTTAGGTTACTAAACTGTGTGGCAGCACACCACTGAGTCAAGCTACTTAGCACGGAGACACTTGTGACCTGCTAATAATAGTGATAATAATAAAGTGATTGAAACCAACGTTTTTAATAAGTGTATACAAAAGTTAACCATTTCAAAATAGGTAAAGTAGCAAGATAGAAATTTAACTTCTTTTAAGTATTTTTTTAGCATTATTGTTCTGACACAGATTTAAAGTGAAGTGTTCAGGTCACAATAGAGACTAAAGAGAGCCTCTTAATCAATTAAACCAAAAAATGAAATATCTCACTATATGCTCAACAGTCCTAAAAAAGAAACAAAGGCAGGACTACTGCACAAAAAAGTAGTCAAGCACAGGCTCAGGTCATATCCATGTTCCCTCACAGGAGTAACCTGAGCACGTGTGAATGAATCCAGAGTTGAACAAGCTCATTCTCAGAGTTATTCACAAGCCAAAGTATTTGAAGCATCAGGAGCCTACAGAGACAGCATGGGACGTAGGTGATACAAAGCATCGGCTTGTCTTTGGAATATAATATTTTAACAACAATTAATTCTTTGCAAGATATGCAGATGATGCACACTACCAGGAACCTGTTCTCTTAAAACTGGTTTAATAGAAGAACATTTTCTTCAGAATGGATTCACAGCCCATAGACCAGCTTATAAAGGATTTTTTTTTAAACACAGATAAAAGTGGCATTGCCAAATATGGGACTAAGGCTAGATTACTGACAGCACCCAGGTGCCTGCAGGGAGAAGGAGATATAAGAAGAGGCCAGAACAAATAAATCAAACAGATGTGTAGGGTCTCAAGAGGGAAAGGAGAGACACCTTAGGTATGAGGAGCAGAGCCATACAGAAATTCAAAGTATAAGAGCATGAGGAAGGAGATTTGTACGTAATACCAGACAATGAAGATGGTCCCCTTCCAGTTGTCTCTGTACTGACTTGAAACAAGGTATCAGTACATCAGAAAGAATGAGATGAAGATTCAAGAGAACGCCCAAGAAAAGCATGAAAATGATTTGGTAATATGGACAACCACAAAAAGTATGGACTCTGAATGCAGCACAGAAATGCAAAGCAAGGGACATGAAAGTAATGGTAACTTAATGGAAGCGTGGTCGTTGCTGTCAATGGTTAAGGGAATAGTGGAGAAAAGAATATTTATGAAGTAAGAGTATGACTCTGGTTTTGTTCAAAACAGGAACAAAAACTTAAGGCAGTCAGTAAGGAGGTCAGAGACAGGATTTAGGAACCAGCATTTGGAGAGGTCAACTGAGGAGAGGCTTATTTGGAGATATCAGAATAGAGAAGATGGTTGTAGCCACAGGTTTGGATGCAATCACTTACAAAGAGATTATAGAAAGCGAAAGCTGAACCACCAAGGGCAAGGCCTGCATAGCATAGGAGATGTGAGAAGAACCCACTGAGGCAGAAACTGAAGGTACACATGACAAATCAGGATGATGCAATGCCTTGAAAATCATGGGCTATTTGTTTAGTCCCACCAATGCTAACACATATAATCATCATGCTTCTTGTATACAGCAACAATCTGCATCCACTCACAAATACAGATGGACTCCTTTTGCCAGAGGAAATCTGAAGAGATAATGCAGGGGGACTATAGTACAGCCCATTCCCTTTTTAGCTCTAACAAAAAGAGAGACCTGCACCAAGATATTTAGCAGCAAAGTCTGTGTTCAATGCAATAACCTACATACAGAATTGTCCTTGCACTCATTACTACGTAGCAGGTGACATCATACAGAAGACTCTAACTATTAATAGACAGCACTAATTGCAATAAGTCTCAGGACCTTAAAGCTATTTGCTTTCAAATTGCCAAGGCTGACTTCATTAAAGTCAGGAAATCACATTAGGTTCCCCCCCCCAAAATAAAAAAAATAATTCTAGTCCTGGCATGAGTCAGAGGTGGAGGTAGATAGTTTAACTAAACACACAGCTGGTTAGCAACAACATGGAACTATATGCATATAAATGCCATGAGCATGCCTTATGTTATGTTCACGTACACGTACAGGCTGAGATAGGTCCATGCCATAGGCTTAGATACCAACCTTACCTGGTTTGCCTTGATTCAGGGTGAATCGTTAGGCAGACAAGGAGACATGCAAAGTTCAGAACCCAGCATGAACTCTGCAAAAGCAGGATGCATTTGGATCTAACATTTTGGTTTATCACTCTGGCCTTCAGAGTTTCATTTTCAGTGGGACCCCATTCAGCATTTTGTCACAAATCTTGATATTCACTGACCTGTCTGTGCAGGAGAATGAATTTATGGGGGTCCCCATCTGCCCAAGGAGGAAGTTGCACATCTCCCAGCACTGTTCCATCCTGCATGCAGCCTGCAGGAATTACAAAGGGAGAATTAAAAACAAGAATCAAACACACTGCAAATAGGAACAGCTTTTCTAAAACACTGAAGTCAAAGGAAATGGAGGCAATTTTCACACATGCTGTTTCAGGTTCTACATAAAATATAGTGCCATAGAACACTGCAGAACCAATTTCTCCTGGGATTTCTGATCTAGTAATAAAGCACCAAGAAGATGTTCTAGTACTGTCGCTAATACAGTAAAAATATGCACGTCCTCAGCACAAACCATTTTAGCACAGACTGCAAACTCCGACAAGACAAACCTGTTGGCACAACTTTCTCTTTATACATAACCCCATGGGCCTAACTGCCAGATATTCCTACTAAAGCAGCCACTGGGAGGGATTTTGTTCTCAAGTCCTTTGCAATCCGATTCCTTTCAGAAGGTGAGCATATGTTCTTAAATCAGAGCACAGTGTTGCGCAACTGGATGAATTCAAATCTAAGTTGAGGCTCAGGTCTGGGACTGCAAATTTCCTTACAGTGTAGCAGTGAACAGATTCAGGTTCTTGGCTTTGCCTATTGTAAAATCTTCCTGTATATTTTCTCTCTATTGGCAAGACTCTGGTGTCTTTTTTAGATCCCTCCACTTGATTTCACTCAGGTCAGTCTCTGGATCTTGATTTCAGACAGACTCTGTTTCTTGGCCTCCTCTCAGGATGAGACTACCCCAATTCTTTCTTATTTTTTAACAATCTTCTAACATCTTTTTCACATTCTGCCCTTTTCTTAGCATGTCTCATTTCACTGAGATCTTAAATACAATTATAGCCAGACCTCAACAACATGGGTTACATTTCCTTTGCCGTCACCAATTTAGGATGATTCTTAAGGTATTTTTCCTCTGCCTTAATCTTTAACCAACCTGAGTCCACTACAAAAAGCATCTTTGTATTGCAAATAACGTGAATTTCCTGTAAAGCGAAGTGAATCAGGACTGCCATGTCTATTTCTGAATAGTATTTTTTCTGGATTCTGTCTGACCTTCCGTCACTCATGCAGAAAGGTCTAGAGGCAGTGTACATTCAGAAGAGATTGTGATGCTGCTTGAGGCCAGGGACGATATATCACGTTCATGTGGCTTCTGCAGACCCTCTCAAGATGACAGGGAGGACATTTGGCAACTTTAATCACCAGAGACATGAGATTTAAAAAGAGACCTTTCACCAACACCATTTAACAATTTAACCATTTAACATCTCCAAAAGTCAAATTAATCTTTTGTTCATAGCCACATAGATGTGATGGTACAAACCAGATTTTCAAAAGCAGCGATCTAGACTGCTTGTATTGAAATCTACTGTTGTCTGACAAAATGTGCAATTCCTTTGCACAGTAACTAATAGGAACTACGATCCCTTCTGAGCTAGAAACATGGTTCTTCTGATATCATTCAGATATCAGAAGCTTGTATTCTTGTAGCCTTATTTAATAAAAATCGATCTGTCATCGCTAGAGAACCTCATCAGTCAGCATAGTCCAGGGACCAACTCCCAACATGTGATCTGGATCTTTTCCCTTGGCAGGATGCTGGAGAGTGGAAGGGGGGCACCGAAGTCCCTTCTAGCACTTACCAAGTTCAAAGTGATTCGCATTGGTTAGGAACTCCGGCAAGTAGAAGAATTCAGGGATGAGTTCTCTGACATCACTCATGTTGTCCCTTGATGCCGATTCCCACGTGCTCTTGACACTGTGAAACATCCTGTCTGCAACATCAAAACTCCCACCCTGTGAAATGGAGGCAGACAAAAAGACTGCAGTGTGAATATTCTGTTAGATAAAAAGCAAATGCTGAATCTTAGCCAATTCTGCAATAATCACCTCATCACATGTTTGATTAGGTGATATCTCAAGATCTGTCCCAGCTCTATTTACTGTGACCTTGTATTAGGGGTTGTCTTAGTCCTGATTTGTTAGGTATGTAGGTTGAGAATACCATAAAGCTTGGAGTCTTAGCATAGCTTCCAATAACACAGAGGCAAGCAGAAATTATCATGGGCAGCCTGAGAATATCAGCATACCCATTATTAATGCTTCTGAAGGCAATTCATTCCTTTCATCCCAAAGTGATTTGCAAGCATGGACACAACTTCAGTGTTTTCACTTCAGTTGTGACCCAAATAGTTGTGAACAATCTTATATGCAGTCCTCTAGAGAAGAGCCTTTGGGGAAAGGGGGTACCACTGGGCTAACATTCATCAGATCCAGGTAAACAGGAAAGGCCCAGTGGGCAGGAGCCTGCAGGGACTGTTTATTCCTTATGGGAAGGAGGGATAGCATAAAGAGGGGAAAAAGGGAATAATGTCTGGGTCCGAAGCTTAATTAGTATGTAAGGAAGGAGAAACAAACTACCTCACATCTTGAGAGCATTTGAACATGTTAAGTTTAATGAGAGTCAAACACTAGACAAAAGCAGTCTTAGTAGCCCTGGACATTACTCTGAACTAAGGCCCTAAGAAGAAAGAAAGAAAGAACAAATTTAAAAAAAAACAAACACTCACTGAATGAAGAGTATATGCCTTACATTGGAACCATAATTCCTACAGGATTTTCTAATGAGATTTCAGATACCGTATGCATTTGTGAAAATCCAGGTTCACCTTTATACAGGGATCTTTACATTGAGTATGAAAGGATTTATTTTAACATAAAATTTCTACAATAATGGAAATAACCAAATAGACAACCAGTTTTTGGAGATCATCTGAATGAGTTTGTCAGAACAAATGACCTGTTTCAGAAGAATGCTGACTTTTTAACTGTATAAAGTGACAGAACCAAATTGCTTCTCAATACCTAGTTCAGGTACTGACAGCAGTATAGCTGCCCAACTGCAACATTCTCCCAGGCTAATATATGTATTTCTCATTGGGGTTAATTAATTTGGACTATATGTCATGCGACATAACACTACGTCTCACTGCCAGGGCTCAAGAGAGATTATCAGAGATAGAACAAGTATCTTTAAACAGTTCTGCAGTGCAGTGAAAATGTATGAATGATTGCTCATCCTCAACCATTCAATCCTCAGAGCTGCTTCACTAGGCAAAAAGAACAAGCCAGTGGGACTGCAGAATGAGGACACTAAAACCCAGAGGTGGTGCAAGACTGAATCTGTTAATGAATATCAGATGCAGTCAGGTTCTGTTTATGGCTGACCTCTTGAGAAAATTTGTTAGCTTTGGTTAGTTTTCTCTCTGCCTGTAGACTGTTGCATGTGCCAGATGAGGAGGATGCTGTCCTTCTGCACAATAACAGTCAGCTGAAGCTTTGACTCGCAATCTATTAAATAGGAAAATAACACCTAAGCATGCTCATGCTGTAAGGATGGGATCTCACTCCCACGGACCAGACGAACCCTGAGCAGCAGTTCCCACATTGGTTTCTGATGGTAAGAACCACTGCCCTTTTGACCCCTCAAGTACCTGCACACTGCACAATGCATCTCCTTTGGATCTACAAACTCTGCTAAGTCTGAGAACAGCAAGTCAAGAAATAACTTTTGCCACTATCTTTTGCTAGGGAGAAACTACCCTCATGAATAAGGAACCAAAACACATAAGTCAATAAACCCTAAGTTCTGAAGCCACATCTCCTTGCTTGTCTTTTCAGATAGACTCCCACCAAAAGCCAACACATATTCCAGATGGAAAGACCCCGACGCTGTTTCCCCTGAGGTGAATTCTGACCAGGTTTTTGGACCAGCCTCATCTCTAAATGACAGCATAGTTCTGCTTTACTTCCTTTTATTTTATGGCCTACTTCCTTATACCACTGACAATTGTGAAGCCGTCCCACACCCACTCAAGGGACTGAGTGAAAAAGTGGCTAATCACATGAGTAAGCCTAGCTGGAGTTAATCTGATGCACAAGGTCATCTTGTTCTTGATCATTATTAGGCAAGGACCCTTGAGGTCAAATTCAAATTGAAATTAAAACAGAGTAGAAGAAGGACTATAAATAAATCAACAGCTAACAAGTATCTCATTGAAGCATATTAAAGGGCTTTGTATATTTAATCTGCACACAGCGCTCTGTGTCTGGTGGTGATTGATGCTTTTTCATCTTTTTTTGCAGCTTTTATGAGAGCTGATGGTAATCTCCTGAGAAACAATATGATTTGTAATAAAAAGATTACCTGTATTAAATAAAAATAATATATACATAGGAAATGCTGTTAGCGCGACAAATCTGGTTAAAGATATTACCACCACGAAAAAATGTGATTTTTTCCCTGGCTGTCTAATTCATTTTAGGGAAAAGTAATATCTTTAAAACTTAAGCCTGTATTATTTATAAAGGAAGCAATAACTGATTTTCCCATTTCCTATATTAATAAATTTATTTGCATATATTTATATCAGAATTAATGAGTTTTCTCTCTCTATGAATGCAAAAACTGCACTGAAAGGGAAAAAGAGAATCAAGAATTGCTTTATGCCTTTAGATTGCAAGTCAACATAAACTCTTATGGCTTTTCTATAGCTAGATACAGTAAGCCTCTGTTTTCTTTCCTTTCAGTAGAGGCCTTATACTGTCATCAGGAATATTGGAAAAATATGGGTTTTAAAACTACAGTTCAGGAGGCTATATATAAAGCGACTAGTCAAAGTGATCTCTAGAGAGAAGTTAGAACTTCCCGTGTTTCTAAAACTTAGCATGCTAAAAGATCCTTGGTGGTGCTTTAAACCCAAAGACCTCAAAGTGTTTCTAAGAGGTGCTTACGAAGATGCTTACGAAGGTGCAAAGACTTACCACACTCCCAGAGTTGCTGAGAAGTAATTACCTGCAGACAGTGCTTAAATGACTGCTCAAGAGTCAGTGACACAATGAAGAGTAAGAACCCTATTTTCTTTGAGAGGTAAACGCCAGGGAAGAAGATTAGCCTGCTAGCGGAAATGCAATGGTAGGATAAGAATAAAAGGGGATAAAATCTGACTTGAATCAAAAGCAAGTGCTTCTAATTATTGAGAGCATGGAGTCCTAGAATGCGTTTCCAATGAAGACGCTAAACACAGAAACCTTTGCTGCTCTTTTGTGGTGCTGAAACCAACACCTGAAAGGAATTCTGGGAGATACTTGGCTAAGGTGAAGTGGAAGGTACCATCCAACACCTGTCTGATGAGCCAGTCTTTCATCCATTCCAATACAATATCCAAAGCACATGCACACTTTTCTCCAGAGTCAGATCACAATACACTTAAATAAAATGTGAAATAATAAGGTTTTGTAAACTCCTGTACAGTTCCCTTACTAGAGGCAATGCTTCCTCACTGCTGCCTTCTGTGGTCAGGTGCAAATCAGTTCTTTGACTTGAGAAAGAGGATGGTACATCAACATCAGTTTTTCAAAAGGGGTGCACCCAAGTTTTTGCATTTCCTTGCCGTGTGCATTCAGACTGGCAGTTTGCAGTTATAATCATAGCTTTTCCACTTTTTAAGGTGCTGAGAAGCCTTCACAGCTCCCAACTCAGCACCCTTCCAAGGTCTTAAGTTTGGGAGTACTCCTTTTCCAACCTGCTCTTGACTTGAGCATACAGTTCTCAGGTATGCTGTTTGCCTGACTGCATCTCACACTTAGCAATATCCTAAGCCACTATAGGACCAGTCACCTGGGGGAAATGACAGCAAAGAGCTCAGCTGAACATGCAGTAACGTAAGAGCAAAAGAATGAGAATGGAAGTTCGACAGTTGCAGTGGATCCACATCCAGACAAAACTTCGAGTGCTTGAGATCTCAGCAGCCTTTGAAGATAACTATCCCCACAAAAATGCTGGTTACCTGCTAATCATACACAAACACTGCTGCAAAGCAGCTACTCAGACTGGGAACTTGTTATGCGTGAAAAGTGTGCCAGTGAGAAACAGCAGCCGTTGTTGTTTACAACAAGAAATAACTGCTCCACAGTCACTGATGACTGCAGCTAACATATGGCTCACAGAGTGCGATGGTAACCATTGCCTCAGGTGGTTCACTAACCCATCAGCTACTGCTGGTAACAGCCGATATCATAGGGCTTATTACTTAATTAGCACAGCGCTTTATTTGTATTAGTTCATTTAAAAAAAGAAAAAAGACCAGCACAACAGCAAAGCACTTGGAGAGCTGCAGGAAGCATGGCCAGTCCTCACCATATGTACAGCAATCTCTCAGTGTGGAATATTCTGGCCTAGCTGTCTCCCTCACATTGCTCCATAAGGACGGGCAGATTTCAGCAAGATGCTCCTTAAAAATATACCCTTGAGGACTTGTCCTCCTGGTAGACCCTGCTACAATGCAACACATACTACAGAAATAAGGGTAACAACTGCTACAGCCGAAGTGTCTGTGCTTGTGTGTCACCAACTGCCTGCTGAAGAAGGCTGTCAGGAAATTTGGTGCCCCTGTATGCTGACCAGCTGGGAAAGGTAAGCACAAAGCTCAGTTTCCATGGAATTCAGTTCCATAGGGAGTGATTTTGGCACCATAAAACAGCAACAAGTTCGGAACAAGCTAAACCAAAATATTCCTTCTGGAGTACTGGATGTAGTCTCACCCCACTTCTCCTTCAGGGAGCTGACCCCATGATCCCTGTCATTCCCCACCCACCAGAACCTGTGCATCCTCATATGGCCCAGGAATGCTCTTTATGCCACCACAGCCAGCTCCAAGTGCTTGCCTGTAATCACATTACTGTATGGGCATTTGGGCTTAGAATACCTAGCATGAAGGTCTCATATGCCCCAAAGTGAGAAGCTCAGTTCAGACAGGTAGTAAAACATTGTCTAGGTGTTTACATGCCTCAGGTCTTACAAAAGGCATCACAGGACCAAAATTAAATAATCCTTCTCCCTCAGAAAAAAACACAATCATCAGGCATCAATCATGCTCCCATTAAGATGTTTTCATTGCATTCAACAGACACAGCATAGAGCCTTCAGTGAGCCCAGAGTCCACACAGAGTATACAGAAAATGTCAAAAGAATTAATCCCTCTTCATTACACAGCCACTACAATGTGCTACATGGTTCATAACGAGGTGTAGGAGGGAAGCTATCTTGCCCCCTTACCTGCAGAGAACAGAAGGTCTGGGTAAATGGCTCCATTCGGACCAGGTAAGATGCCACTATAATTGCTGATGAATAGTGAGTACAGTAATGGCACTGGGCTGACAGGTCTCCTGGAAATTGGACACAAAATTTCAGTGCAAAATATCACCATTTCAAGCCCATAGCTTCCAGTTACCACAGCCCAACTAAATAGGGAGCAGGTCTTTGAGGCAGATGTGTTCAAGGATCTGTGAGCAAAAGCACACCTTGCATATTTGCATTGAATGTGCACAGTTACTACCATCTCTGCGTGTTCTTTTTTTGCCTTCCACATTTCATTTTCTGAAGAATACAGCCTTTAACTTTCCAGACCATCCCCTTCCCCATTAGTACTAAAAAAGATCTTGATCTCCAGAGGTAAACAGCCTCAACATCCTGTTTCCTTTTTTTACAGTAGCTGTTAGCTAAGCTGCATGCAGCAGTATTCTACATGCAGCTTAAGCTAACAGACAAGACTAATGCATGCAGCTTAGTTAACAGAACAGTCTTTTCTAGGGAACATATTGTTTTTTGCTGTAGCATCTCTTGCTGCCCAAGGGAAGAGGGCAGAATGCAGCAGTACAAGGCATGTAAGGAAGTGCTTGCAGGAGTAATTTCTCTTTGAATCCTCAACCAATTTGTATCCAGAAGTGAGGGGATCTCCTTGACATGGTGCTTCCCTTAGCCACAGCTCTGGAAAGTTTTTGGGTGACCTTTTCCAAGGGATTCGCCAGCATCCCCAAAGGCCTGAGAGGACTTAAGCCTCTGCTGTCTGTTACTCTCCTAAAACACTCACCCTCACTGTTCTCCACCTCATTGTAGCGCTGGATGAACTTGCGTTTCCTCTCCACAGTCTGAGCTCCCATGGGCTTTGACAGGTCCCGAAATGTGTGAGGATTAGTAAGGTTTAGAGTCTGAAAAGCAAAACCAGCAAAAATGTAGATTTTTAGATCCCCGAGTCTTACACATCATGACTAGCTCAGTGACACTGGATAGCAGCAAGGCTGTGTTGGAAGTTTCAGCTATACAAGGCCACAGACTCAGTACTAGAACACCTGTCTCCAGAACTGGGATGGGACTTGGAAAGAGAAAGCATGTGCTGCTGGAAGGACAGTATGTACAAGAAGCTTCACAAGTAAAGGACCTGGCAGGTTGCAAATTGCTCTCAAGGCTTTTCTGTCCAAACTTCCTCGTCAGGGGTCACAGAAGACTGTCCCTGCCTATCTGCTGAGCCAATGCAGCCTGCCCTTAACTAGGTTATGTATTTAACAGATGTTCATCCACCTTTCTGAGGCAGAACATGATCCTCAGCATGCTTATTGAGAAGCTTCACAAGTAAAGGACCTGGCAGGTTGCAAATTGCTCTCAAGGCTTTTCTGTCCAAACTTCCTCGTCAGGGGTCACAGAAGACTGTCCCTGCCTATCTGCTGAGCCAATGCAGCCTGCCCTTAACTAGGTTATGTATTTAACAGATGTTCATCCACCTTTCTGAGGCAGAACATGATCCTCAGCATGCTTATTGGAAGATAAGGCTAATCGATAAAGAATCACTACAGTCCAAATTAACTACCTCAAATTTTGAACCCTTAGTCTAGACCCCTCTGCTTCAATGGCATCATTCAACAAACATTTGCATGGTTGCTGTCATAGAAAGTACAAAATGCTGCAGCAAGCACTGACCTCAGAGTGATAGTCAGCAAGGATCCATGGAAACACAGGATACTGCATGTAATCATTGTAGCTGCGGCCAGCCAATGTGTTCAGGTACATGAGGTAATCAAAGTTGCTGATCTCCCTCTTCTGCCAGGGAAAGGAAACAAGCATTAAAATCTCTTAACTCCACCCCTGAAAACCATGCCTCAGAGGCACCCTTGGAGTCCTGTGGTTCCCCGGTCCACCGGGACAAGAATTATAAATAGTGTAATCAATCACCCGTTGCCGTTCATATCAGCACAATATCTCTTATACAACAATCCATTCAACAGAATCGGAGTCTTCATTCTGGCTCTTCTTCAGATAGAGCATTTGCCTATAATCACCCATTACTTTTATGCTGCATTTGCATAATAGAGCACTTTTTCCCAATTTAAAAGTGAGTCAAATGCATGCAATCTGTATATTGGAAAATCCTGGACAACTGCCTGTACAGAAACGGCTGCACAAAGTGCTACATATAAACAAGAAGATACAGATTTCTTCAACGTGTCTTAGGTCACCAAGATCAGGGATACAGGAAAGTAAATGCCTGTCTCGGGTCAGCAAAACATCTGGGAAAATAAGAGGTGCACTGATTTAGATGTACAGATGATCTGTGAACAGCCATTCAACTAGGTGGCTCTCTTTGGTCTCAGTTTAAAAATGTGCATAAAATCACACTTAATCTGTCAGACAGTAGCACCATATGTTTCACAGCAAGAGGAGCAAAACCTCTGCAATAACCTGGTGTAAATATGCTGCTCCTCTTGCCAATAACCTCACCTCCAGCAGTGAAAGAGCAGCTTAGGCCTTGAAGTACACACACACATATCTATGCACAGACACACAGACAGGTGCTGAAATTCTTCACTTAACGATGTGCAGCCGAGATTTAGCTTACCTGCCACTTCTGGAGCATTGTCTTTTCCCCTCCTGAGTGTTTCCTGTATGGAACAAACATTTGATTGAAATAATCTGCTTCGGAACAATAAGAGAAAGTCAATGCATTAACATCTGTGCTCCCTGTGCCCCCTGCTCTCATCCCACAGAAATAAGAGAACACCAGCACTAGAAGAATGTTGAAGTTTCATCATTGACCAAATCATTCCAAAACCACAGAGTGTCATCAGTTAGGTTAGTGCTGCAGGATGCAAGATTCGTTACTGCTTTCAGTAAGAAGGAAGGCTCTGCCTGATGAACAGGGATGGCCCAGCTTCAGATGGCTGAAGAGTTTATGACTGTCAGTCACTCCCTCTATGACACGCTGACTTTCCCAAAGTTACTTGCCAAGTCTGCTCCTGAATGAAGTGTCACTTACAGTATGATATTTAATAAAGAAAAAAGAAAGAAATAGGGTGGTGGTGTTAAGGCTGGATTCTGTTTGCCTTACTATATAGCTGCAAACTGCGTCAGTGGTGCCACATGGTAAACTGCAAGAATTCAGAAGCTGACTCACAGGCAGAGAAGATGCTCCTGCAGCAGAGGCAGATGGACAGCTGGGGACAGCAACCTCCTCAGCTGTTCCCGAGCTAAGCCACACTGCTAACCAGTCTGTGCTCCCCGTCTCATCCTACTGTAGAACTAGAGTGCTAGTGACAGGTACTATTAAGGCTGTCTGTTTCTATTCTGAAGCCTTATTCTCAAAGGCTCATGCTTTTCTGAAGTATTCTGAAAAAAACAGCTTGAAAACAGAGGTGTCTCAATCTCCATATCACAGATATCCTTTTTGCATAAAGCACTTTGAAACTAACGTGGTGCTTAAAAAATGGGTTGCCATTTTTATAGTTTTTTTAAAGTAACAGAGTAAATATGACTTCCACTGTCTCTGTTCTCAAAATGCAACATTTTACTGAAACTTTAAATAAAAAACAAACCATTTGAAGACAGATTCTAAACAGGGGAATTCACCTGAAAATGTGAAAGGGTCAAAGGTTCTGAGTAAGCAAAAGTAAGTTTCAACTACACTGAGCTAGAAGGTGTGTCGCTATCTGAAGGCCATGGATTTGCACTTGTTAATTCCTAGCAACCAAACTGAGACAAGTTACAGCTTCTGGATTAAAGAAACTTTTGATCTGCCAAAGTAAACAGGGTTATTGACATGATATGATATGATACGATACGATATGATATGATATGATATGATATGATATGATATGACATGATATGACATGATATAACTGGTGGTAGGAGATACTTTTCCCTTTGAGTGTGCAACTTTAATCCTAAAGCGCCAGCTCAGAGATTAGGATTACTAACTTCCTGAAGTGTAAGGAAATCAGTTCAGCCATAGATTAAAAAACTGCTGCGTGTATAACTAGCGGCTATTTTGCATTCTTATGCTCTGTATTGGATCACACCAGAAATCCACAAAGCTAGGCTTAAAGCATCCTCAAAGATCTAAATAAAACACTGGAATGGTCTATGATCATTACAGTTTTATTAAATTTGCAGTAGTAAATTCTTGTAAACTACCTCTCATGATAATGAATCATTATTTTACTGCCTATTCACTCCTGGACCAGTTAATAGTGTACATAAAGGAAAAACATAACAGTTTACTCAACACAGTATTTTATTCCTTGCTTAGGCACTCTCTTCAGAAAAAAGTGTGTATCTGAGGGAAGGATTTTGCATAGCCTAAGTAATAACCTATTCCGTGAACAAACATGAAACCCACAACCAATTCTAGCTCATGGTCTACAACTCCTAAGCTTTGTTTAGTTCTCCTGCCAAGCATATGAAACCTACCAATGATAGGCTATGTTTACAGAAACCAGGCAACACAAAAAGGTGTAGTTCATATCCGATATGGGAAAATAGGATCTTCACTCTTTGTCCAAAAAAATTAATAGATTATAAGATGGTCTAATTCACACAATGCAAATCAGAAGAAAGTCCATTGACTAGAGTAGCGTTATGGTGGTTTTGCACCCCCAGTTTGAGCCACACATAGCTCAAGAATGTAGGAATTCTAAAGCAGAAAACAGATATTATGAGCGCTTACCCTTTACAATTCAGCGCTCTCACACTATATGTAGATTTCACAGAGCTTTGCCCCGCTGGCCTTTGTAAGGTCTCCGACAGACATTTGGAACTCAGAGAGAGTATCTCAAAGGGATGGAACAGGATCAGGATTACTGGCATTATTTTAAGTGTGGGTGGATTAGGGTGTTTGTCACAGAGGGATCAGGTTAGGTTCTTCCCTTTCCACAAAGGTAGACAGACTCTGTAAAACTGCCCAAGTTTATTTTGGATTTATGGCTGAGTTAGAAAGCAAGGAGTATGTAACATGGAAACCTGCTCAATCCATCAGTCTTCCAACATTTTAAAGTGGGAGCATTATAAAGGAACTAAAATACCATGCACAGAACTAAACTGGGCCAGCCTATGTGTGTTATGCAAATATGCATAATATATGTTGACTTGTGGGTGCCATGACCCTCCAGTGCAACTCTTGCTCTGCTTGTCACAAGCCCTAAACAGCTAATAAGGACTCTACAAGGGTCAAAACAATCCTCTCTCTGCTGACTTTGGAAGCTGCAATATAACTCAAAGAGGTTGATGAGTTCACCATGTCATGAAAATATGCAAGGATAAATGTAGTCACTCCCCTGTAAGAGTCATCCTTCTGGGTCTCAGGGGACCAGGCAGGATGCTCTCTCCAAGTCTCCAGAGATCTGGAATTCTGCATTCTCCCTTGTCAACTCGCAGGAGGTCAGAACATGAATCGCATTACAGGCAGCTCAAGCCTATTCCTCCCTTCTCTTGGTAATCAATCAGCATTCCTCCAGCCAACACCTCTCTAGCCAGCACAGCAAAAGCTCAAAGTAGACCAACTGCAGCTATCCAACCACAGTAAGTGCATTTAAAAATAAAGAAATAATCAAAGGCTGGTTTGAAAAAGAAACAGGAGAAGTGCCTACATATCTATCTGTATCTATATCTGTAAGGCATTTGTAAGGCACTAGCCATGGCAGAATCTAAGCATGATGTGTACTAATGATGATCCACCTTTAGCTACACTATGCATAAGTGATTTATTAATCCCTCTTGCATTAACATCAGACTATGATCTCACTCTTGTGATAGCCAATGCTCTCCATTTGCTAGAGACAGGTGTACCTCAACCCACTTGCAGATTCATTGCAGATGAGATAATCTCAAAGGATAACATTTTGCCCCCACTGAAATTAATACTAAAATTCCAATAAACTTAATTGGGTTCTTAGACTTCACAAAGCTGCTTTCATTTTCTTTTTGTCTTCCATCCTCCAGACTCCTTAAGTCTGCAAAACAGTGCCAAAGCTCTCCTAAACCCACTTTTCTTGAAGAATCTTTGCAATTACCAAAAATATTGTGAGGGAAATCCCCTTCCTGGTAAGCCACAACCTAGGTCCAAGTCCTACTACTAAAAGAGGAAAGAACAGGTCAAAGGGAATGTCAGCTTTCCCTGTGAAACAATCAAGTCTCTCTCAAAACTCAGAAAAGTGTTAAGGTAGACTACTTTAGAAAAAAAGGTACAGGATCCTCCTTGCTTGATTGTACCAGTCCCCCTTCTAGGTATTCTAACTCTGTGCTCAAAGAATAGAGATATAATACAAAATTTATAAATAAGTATAATATTAAAGTAGGGCTCCTTGAAGTAGGATGTCTTGAAGGGGCTGGGGAGGTAGAAAGGAATCTCCCTCATTTACAGAACACTGTTTGCACCATGTGTGTTCACAGGTTTAAACCAGACAAAGGGATAACATTTCAACTGTGGAAATGCTGCATGCAGGCACATTTCAGGTCGTAGAAGAAAAACATCAAGTAAATTCAATTAATTTGTTGAGGTGAGCAGAATGCAATCTCCAACCCTAGAATCAGCCAAGTACATCAACATTATCAGCTTCTTTATGCCAATAATATCCCAGTCCCATTATCAGCAAGAGAGGGACCTCAATGTTGCATCTCCTGTGAACAATACCTGCCACAAAACACACAGCTATTTCTCTTCCATAGTTGTTCTTTTCTAGATACTATTTTGAAATTATTGCGGCCAGTTACTAAAAGCTTGAGCTTGGTAGCCCCAGTCATAGAGACAAATTCCAGTAAATTCACATGCTACAAAGGGGAACTGTTGTATCAGCTGCACTTTTGAAGGGTCACAGACAGATGAATATAAAGTGCAGCTCATACCCTCTCTGCTGCACCGCTGAATGAGCCTTCCCTTCTGTGTCCATATCTATCCGATCTGGCAAGTGCTAAGGATGGTATCACAAATGTTGCGAGTTTTAACACACACATACAAGTATCTCACACTGTGTTACAGCCAAGTAAAATGAAATAGCCAAATGACTAAAACGGACAGTTAAGGTAACATTAGAAGCTGATGAACAGCTTCTAACCAGGTCCAGATGCTTTTTCTTTCTGCATAATTTGAAATCTAACATTTCCAGGCACTGCATGCAGTTCAGTTCTTTTCCCTCCAGCTTGAACTTGCATGCTGGAATCAAACATTATGCTAATGATCTCCAAGGACCTAGCATTGCTGTTGCTTAGGAACAAAAGACTCACAGGCTGTGGAAGGAGAATTCAATAGAGAGACCCTGGAACTGGGACCCTTTTTGCCACTCCTCCTCCCCCCCCGCACACTCACATACACAAGTTTCTTGAAGGGCTGCCATTTTCCATTTTCCATCGAGGAAGTACAATTCAGAATTTGCAGGACTGAAAACGAAATTGTCCTGCGCTCTCTGCTCACGGGTTTATTTACAGACTGAAAGACTAATTCATTACTCAAAGAAGAGTAGACAGAGGACGACTGCACAGTAACAGACCATGAAGGCTCATCCCACACTACTGAAAAAAACAAGCAGCTTGTGACATCTATACCTCACCTTCTGAGTCTTCCTAGCTGCTAGCCGGTAAGATCTTATGCAGGGGGGCAGTCTGGCAGAATTGTGAAGATGAAACAATATTTTTGTTTATTTTTCGTGGACCTTGGTTTTATAAGTGACCTTGCACTGTGTGATAGCACAGTGGCTCTGAAGTGATCTAGAAAAGTAAGAAAATTAAGGAAGGAAACCTCTCTCTATCTATTTGCTCATGGCAGGATTTAGTCTAAACCTGCCTGTTAGCTAGAGACTGCATTTAAGATAGTCAGTGAGTTAATCTCTCTTCCACAACAGGTTGTATCCAACAACAAAGAAATGGTAACAGGCTTGTAAGCAGGGAAATAAAAACCTACCCTAGCTGGAACTGCTTGGCTTCATGCATTCACTGTACAAATGCTGGTTTTAAGTTTTATATGAAATTATTTCCATAAAGCTAATCCATGGGTGAATTAGAACATGTCACTGCCTTCCTGCCCCCAGAGAAGTGCGGGGCATGCGTAGCTCTGCTGGGCTTGGCAAGCCTGCTCTGCCGTACGCAGACTTCCAGGAGGAAAGACAGGGAACTTTTCTCACAGACTAGTTCAAGATGGGATCAAGATGGTTCTGTGCAGTTTTGGGTGCAGTGAAGTAGGAAGCAGCAACCTATGGGAGGAAAAGAACAGGCAGAACCACAGAGGAGGAGGTCCTGAAACACCCAGACAGTGTCACATGCAGAAGGCCTGTTCTGCTTCTGCCAGCCCTATGCTGGAAAGGAAGAAGAAGGGTTCAGGTAGAAGAGACTAGATCATCAGGGTCCAAACCTGTATTCTTCTAGGATCGGATCTCCTTCTTAGGACAGGCTTAGCTACAATGGGTCATGACTGGGCCCTGTGCAGGTGCTTAAGTGCAGGTAAGGAGTAATCTGCAATCCTTCCTTGCCTCAGAGAGACACTGACAGTCCTAGTCCTGATGCTCAAGGTCTGTTCCCTCCCTGCAGCTCCCAGCAACACAGAGCACCACAGAAAACATGATGCCCTTGACACACATTTTCTATTCATTTCTGTATCAGATCAGCCTGATAGAGATCAGCTTGATCAGCTCTGGGCCTGTGAAACACTTCTAAAGCTCTGGGGTTAGCCCTGGGCTTTCAAAAGCCCAATCCAGACCAAAGATTTTACCAAGTGTGGATAAAAATGGAAAGAGTTTTCTAGTCAAGGTCCTCTTTAGCAAGATCTTATCACATCGAAATGCAGCACCCTCACCCTTGGGCAAAGGCTTGCCAGCAACTCAGAGGGTGAACCTGGCAGTGGGGTGAGGGTTTAGAGAAAATGAGTAAAGAGAGTTCCCTCTTGTCATCATCATTTGTTAGGTAATAGGGCAACACATGTACCTCTCCCTCCGCTGTCCCAGGAGATGCGCTGCGAGCATGAGATTGAGCAGGCATAATTAACATTTACAGCAAGGAGGGCTCCTGTGACTCCTGAATTTTTAATATCAGTGGCTACAGAACCGGAGCCCTCTTATGTGGAGCTAAAGAAAATGAGAAGTGGCTAAGTAAGCTCCATTATCTCCAGCTACAGCCCTGTGAAACACTGATAATTAGTTTACAAGCATGCAGAGACAAGAGAGCTATTCATCCCCTTCAAGCTGTCTGGTGCGTTATGGTGCGTTATGCAGAACTCTAATGCTAATCTCTATCTCTGGGATTGACCATCACCTTTTTGTATGTTTGAAACATGGCTTCCACTTTTAACGCAAAGGAAATAGTACTTGGAAAGTGTGAGCACTCCCTAGGGACTCATGTTTTCCTGATCAGTCCACCTGAGATGTCCACGGTAGGATTTTAAAAAGTCCAACTAAAAGAGACCTGACCCTACCTTCAGGTGGTTAAATCTGTTTCAAGTCTAGGTATTATCCAATGCATCATACACAGAGATCTGCCTTCAGGAAAAATTACACTGATCTGTTTGTTTGGACTTCTTAAAAATATGAAAGGTTCAAGTTCAAACTTTGTAACAAGTTGTCAAAGGTTATTATTGACAGAGAAATACCCAAACCCAAAAGGTTAAACTGGACTGTTCCTGACAAGCAAGCCTCCGGCGCTCAACCTTCCACACTAGGCTCCCTCTAGTGCTCCCAGGCGCGCACAGCACCGAGGGACACCAGCACTGGGAACCAGCATTAACAGACAGCTGCAGAACAGGCTGATGTTTTGGCTAGCTGGTATTTTTAAGAAAGGAACTGTTTTGGATCAATGTTTTCCCCTTGGATTTTAAATGAAAAGTAGTAGAAAACATTACTAGCAACTGAACAAAATGTTTTCTTTCTGAGAGTTTTAAAGATGTTTTAAAAAGCATTTTAAAAGAAATTATCATTTTGAATTTTGAAAAAAAAATGTATTTTTCCTTGAGGCTCCCTTTAATTTTTTTTTAATGGCATACTTGGCTGAAAAACTCCACTGATCAAAATGTGCTGAATGTTTTGGTCAACTCATCCAACACAAAATTCAAACAAAAAGAAAGTTGGACCCAAAAGTCACCAGGTTCACATCAACTGCAGGAAACGAAGCCTCTTTCCATCCTGACAAAGTGTAAGGAAACTGCCCTGCAGATCTTTTTCTGAAGCATGGTAGTCACCTTCTGTGTACCAGTAAGGGACTCAGGGTGTCCTGTACCACCAGCAGGGCTCTGGCATTTCCCATGTAGCTGAACTTTATCTTCACAGAATTGCTAACAAGAATGTCGCATCAAATCCTTAAAATGAGTGAACCATGATTAAAACAACTATTGTTTTGATCTCCAAGAACTTCCTACCCACTCCTGGGCAAATTATCGAAGCTAACATCAACAAAGGTGGAAAAAGTGCTTGATTTTCCACTGTAGAGTACTTTTCTTCAGTTATCAGTCTACACTATGGAAAGAATAGCATTGATATTGCCCTGGGGCACAGTAAGGTCAAATATAGCAAAGATCGAGAGGCCTTCAGATATAACGGTAATATGGCCCTGTAAGTACTGGTGAGAGACAGAAATGTGGGAGTGACAGACACAGAAAGATTTAACTGTGTTTAAATATTTTTATATAAAATAACAAAGATTCAATTTTGGAACATATCCTCAGGGCAAGACTGACCCCACGGTGCTGCTTTCAGGATTTTCTGAAGCATCTGCCTCATTACAGAGCTCCCAGGAGTGTGGGTGGTAACTGGCAGATATCCCCCTTGCTTTTGCATTATTTTTGGCTATGGCATGTAATTGAAAAGGAGCTGAAATGCCTTAGTTGTAGCCTGAGCTTCCCCTTCATGTATTTGCACATGATTAATGAGTAGCCAAAAAGCCTGAAGGGTTTATAATGAAGCCTTTCTAATAGGAAAATGTATTGTAGACAAATCCATATTTTGTCCCAAACAATCATTCATCAAAGCTGCGATTTGACTCTTCACAATTAAATGCCAGAGCACCCGGACCATCCTAAGATTAGCCAGCTGTAACCCATGCTCCTCTCTGCACTCTGGCTGAGTGGGACATTGTCATCCATTTCCAGGGAATCAGCCTATTTCCTTTGTCACTAGCCATAATTAGCAGCTGTATTTGATGACTTTCGATTAGAGAGACAGTTCACGAAACCTGAGACTACAGTGGACGACTACTCACACAGGCTTCAATTCAACAAAGCATATAGCACATGCTGAGCATCAGTATGAGTCAAAAGTCTGACCAGAACACCTACACGCATTTTTCGAGGGCAGGGCACCATCACAGTGGGAGTCCATCTATCCCACAGCATGGATGGAAAGACAAGGTTAGAGTATCCAGAGTCTGTCCTTGAAAACACAGGAGTCACTTACTGAGGCCTGGTTTACCATGTCATTAAGCAGCACTGACACAGACCCCCTGTTGCAGTCAGCTCTGCAGGTAATGTGTGAACTGCAAGCAGTTCTGGAAAATCTAGGAGCCCACTATGTTCCTGAGGTCCTGGTTAAAACAAGACTCTTAATCATTTGCTTTAAATATTTAATCTTTCAACAGCATCCAGAGCCCAAATCTCAGGTCCATTAAACAGGATATTTAACCAACCCCTCAACAGATGCCAGGCCTGTTAAGAAGGCAACCTGTTGGTCTGTTAGAGTAAGTACAATTTTGGATAGCTTCTTTTAGTGCAGTCCCTAAGGACTGGATTGAGACCCACAATATGTTTTCCTCTGGTCCTCAAATGGCTGATGGATAATAACACATTTCATTCAGTTTCATTACATGCTGAGCTTAAATCAGTATCTAGGGATGAAAGACAGCAAATTTCTCCCACTTGTAATTTCACCCTGTAATGCAATATAGGTGTTACAATGCAATAAAATAATAGTGTATATTATTAGAATTTCACCTATTCAAAATACTTTCAGGAAGAACTTCCAGAGTTGCAGCTTCAGGGTTGAAAAGTCCTGACCTTAAAAAAAAGACTTCTGAAGAGTCCAGCAGTCACATGTTAATTTATAACTATGTGATTGGTTTTTTTTTTAAATTAGGGAGCAACAGCCACTGCTTTCAAAGACTTTACTGGAGTTCCCACACTTCATCCACAGAGTCTGGTGTGTCTGTCTGTCTCTCAGTGGAGAGATGGCCAAGGGGAAAGCAAAAGGTCAAAAAGGTAAGAAGATCACCTTGAAAATTGCCAAAAATTCCATCCGGATATCTTCTGATGGAGGGCGCCGTCTTGACTTAAGCAAGATGGGTATCACTACCTTCCCCAAGTGTATTCTGAAACTGGCTGATGTGGATGAACTTGATTTGAGCAGAAACATGTTGAAAAAGATTCCAAGCAGCATCCAGAAGTTCCAGAAACTGCGCTGGTTGGACCTGCATAGTAATCAGCTTGAGGAGCTGCCCGAGGCAATAGGTACACTTCAGAACCTTTTCTACCTGAATATATGCAACAACAAGCTGACCACCAGAAATCTGCCAGAAGAGTTGAACCTTCTCAAGAACCTGCGTATTCTCAACCTTGGCTTGAACTGTCTTGACAGTATTCCCACCAGTCTTGGGGCTCTGAAGGAACTTAAGGAGATAGGTCTCTTTGACAATGCCTTGACCACCATCCCAAACAGTGTGACAAAGCTCCCCAAGCTCATGAAACTGAATGCAGAAAGAAACCCTTTCCCAGATTCAACAAATCAAGAAGAGCATGCCGACTCCATCAAATGCATAGAAACGTTTTATTTAGTACAAGATAAAGACCTGTGCTGTTCCTGCCTGAAGACGTGTCAGGATGAGAGGAACAAGCTGAACAAGTTAAGGAACGTGACATCTAGCCCCTCAAAGAAGCCAAGTTTCCCTTTACTCCTTACACCCAATTCCTCTGCAAAGGATAACCAAGAAGAATGGAGATTAAGAGGCAAACATCCCTGAAATATACCAAGGCACTCCACAGACCATGTGCCATGAAGTCCAGCCTAAGCTAATAAAAAGCTGACCTCCTTCCTCCTCCCTTTTCCTGCAGTTCTCTTCCTTTAAAGATCTACTCAGTTTTAGAAGCAGCAGATCTGTGTGGTCTCTAAAACAAAATCCAAAACAACTAAAACAGATGTATATTTGGGAAAGGGTGCATTTGGGAAAGGAAGGATTATTTCCATCTGGGCCTGTTCCTACAACATGTTCTCCATGTTTGGGTTTGTTTGGGGTTTTTTTTTTGGTCTTTTCTGTGTGCATGTGTCCAGTGAACCTATCTTCAAAAAGATCGGTTTTTCTAGTAACTCCACTCCCACCACTGAGCCCCAAACACTAGTTCTGTTCGTTTTCATAGGGTGACACACGGTTAAACTAGTCTCAGTAAATACCATTTGGAGGAAAAGGAACAGACCTGGCAACCCTTTGCTGCTGGTGGCTGCCACCAACCCCTCAGAGAATCTCAGACAGGCACTGTCAGTGTAGGAACCATGAGCCCATTCCAACTTAGCAGAGGCAGCAGACACAAATATTATGCTCAGGAGTAACTAAGCAGTGCAAACACAATGCTTAGAGCTAAACAAACAGTGATCCTGTTTGCCATCAAGGGGCCAGACTGCATAAGCAAGTTCTCTGGGATTTTGGGTGCTATATCTGGGTGCAGTGATCTCTAACTTGCACAACACAATCAGCACCACTACCTATTTTCACTGTGTTTTGTCTGCCTCTGAGTCTCCTTCCAAGGAAGGTACAGAAGGGAGAAGAGGTAGGGAAAAGATTGGTCTTTTTAAGGGTCCTGGGCATATCACTTAAGCAGTGACTAAGAGAAGAAGAGTCACCCGCTTCCATGATCCAAGAGTCAGCTGGTGAATTGATGAAATCGGGTCTGGCGTCCCCACAGTACTTCTGGCTTTCTGTTCACATGTGCGCATGCATGTGTGCACCTGAGTGCACACATTCACTTGCTCAAATCACATCCCTAGGGCAGAGAATGCTCACAGCCTGCGAACAGCAATATACAGGTACAAGCAATGAGCAGATTATAAAGGCAGTCAAGCACAACACGAGAAGAGGTGCTGGCTGTGGCCATGGTAACATATGGTGACAGCAAACATTTAAGTTTATTTAAATGAAGAATAAAGTGCCAGGGGCAATGTCCTCAGTTGTCCAGTAACAGCCCATTATCATTTTTTAAATGGCTACAGTAAAGCCTAGGAGTCAGAACTCCTGTGTATTATTCCTATGGACTAGGTGGAAAAACTGATATGGGGTTTCCCAGAAATGCTACTACCTCAATATCATATGATACATCAAAGCAGTAATTTCTTCTTTCATGCTTCATCTGTGTAGTTATTAATAGTGTGTCTGGGCAAAGAGCTTAGTCTGGCCTGCCTCACTGTCTCAGGTAGGGCAGGAAAAGCTGAGATGCTATGGAAGATGGCCATTGCTCCCTAGATGGGGAAGGAGAATTTTTCTAACTCAGAAGCAGCTCCAGAATTCCAACGAGGTAAAAGTAAACTCATGAAGTCCTCAGTACTTCAGTTCCCAGACTAGAGATTGGTAAAGGCAAGCATGCCTACTGTGATCATTTTCTCTAACTTTCTACTTAAGCAGAATTTTCCGGGATCATTACTTAGGCAGTGGCACTATCTTATGTTTATTCTATTTCAGCTCATGCTGTAACATGGCCCAGACAAAGCTATGCCAAAGGCCCCTGTCCTGGTTTCAGCTGGGATAGAGTTAATTTTCTTCCTAGTAGCTGGTATAGTGCTGTGTTTTGGATTTAGGATGAGAATAATGTTGATAATACACTGATGTTTTAGTTGTTGCTAAGTAGTGCTAAGTTGTTGCTAAGTAGTTGCTAAGTAGTGCTTAGAGTAGTCAAGGGCTTTTCAGCTTCCCATGCTCTGCCAGGTGCACAAGAAGCTGGGAGGGGGCACAGCCAGGACAACTGACCCAAACTGGCCAAAGGGCTATTCCATACCACATGACGTCATGCTCAGTATATAAACTGGGAGAGTTGGCCAGGGGACAGGGATCGCTGCTTGGAGATGTGCTGGGCATCAGTCAGTGGGCGGTGAGCATTGTACAGCGTATCACTTGCTTTGTATATTATTATTGTATTATTATTATTTGTTTTTATTATTATTATTATTACTACTACTACTATTACTACTGTTCTATTTTATTTTACTTCAATTATTAAACTGTTCTTATCTCAACCCACGAGTTTTCTCCCTTTTACCCTTCTGATTCTCTTCCCCATCCCCACTGGTGCAGGGGAGTGAGCAAGCAGCTGTGTGGTGCTTAGTTGCTGGCTGGGGTTAAACCATGACAGCCCCTTACATTTTCAGAGTGAATAAGGTGCACAGGGTCCTCTCTCAGCCAGTGGAGTAAAACTGAAGGCAGAGCCAGGACAGGCTACTTTAGACCTAGACATACAGCCTGCTTCAATCTCTGAGACCAAACATGAGTCAAGTGTTTCTCACAATAATCACAAGCCCAGCTAAAAGCCCAGACTTCCTGCAGCCGTAGTGCATCTTATCTCAAGACACTGCCACCTCTTGAGCACCCAACAAGCACAAGCAAAGGAAACCCTAGGGTGAATTATTGGTTACTGCACACAGAACACACATCGTGCTCCATAGAGTCAACCATCACCTCTAGCATAGGTTAGGCTCTAGCCAGAACCGGTTGCATACTGCACTGATAATTTTTGCAAGCTGATGGCTGGTACTCAGAGGTGAAAATGTTCACTTACAAGATAGGTAATGATCTACAACAGGTAGAGTGAAAATTAAAAAGAAGAGTACAGCTGACACAGGCCACAACAACTCATAGGGGCAATCTGCCCCTCAGGTCTCAAGAGTATTCCAGCCTCCAGGCAATCATTTCCAAGGACACTAATTAGGCACTTAGGGTTGTGTTCCTCAGATATCCAAACTGAGAAGAGTTCTAGGTATGCAAGTAACTCAAGGTCAGTATGAAACATGCTCTCAATCACCTCCCACTAGGAAAAAACTTTTTTTCCCTGCAGTGGTGAATCTGAGGGACAAGTTGGAATCTCCACTGCACGGTTACTATCACATGCCAAAACATGTAACATGTACATCTATCACTGTCTGCCCTAACCACGCAATAAAGAGGCCATTATGCAGAAGCATTATGGATTAGCTCTAACCTCACCTCACTGTCTCTTTCCCACACTAACTATCTGTGTAGAGTTTACCAATAAAGTCATACTAAGGAGGTAATAATTATAATCAACTATGCACAGTCAGCTACTCAATACATTCTTCATGTCTTCATACTGTGGATGCTGTACACTAGAATGCTTTTCGGAGTTCTGGGGACACCTTTGAATCTTTAAAACAGGGGGCACAAATAGGTATGTTTCTAGATGCTTTTTTTAAGATGAAACTTATTCACACAATTGCACTTGTTATCTAGTTATCCAATGTTTCCTATGTTTTACCTTATATTCAGGGACTCTTCTGTTATCCCCTTCGACTTCAAAGCAGGTTGGAAAGAGCAAAATCTATAGGAGATATGAAAGGTCACATTATAATCATTTAAACGGTTGTCTGTACATATTAGATATGTATATAATCTATGTCATGCCCTGACAGCAACTTTCTTCCTGAAGGACACCACAACATTTCACTGAGACTGTAACCTAGGACAAAGCTGCAAGACAACACAGCAGAAGCATACCTTTTAATATTAAAGAGTTGCCTATGGGCTACTTGAATTGATATATAGGGCTATGGACTTATGACCAGGCAGTTTAAGTTGCTATTAATTAAGCCAGAGAATGAGAACTCACTCAGACATTTATCTAGCAAAAAATGGCAGAAAGGAATACCAACCCACATCTCAGCTATTCCTATTTACTTTCACTGGGGGTTTATCATGTCAGATGTACTAAACCCTTGAAATACATACATTTGGTGACTTTCAGCTGAGGGGCAACAAAGGCAGCTGAGGATCAAAACATTATCTTGAACTGCCTCTGCAAGATTCCCCCAAGAGATGTTTGTCAGAGCTGAGAGACAGCAAAGATAAGGGCTAAACAAAGCAGCTGGCTCTGGGGCAGAACCTGGTGATTCTAAGTAGCCACATTATGCAGCCAATTTAGAATGGAAGACTGGACAAATCTGCATTGACTTTTTAAGCAATGCTCCATTAGAAACTGCTCAGAGATTTTGGGAGCAGACAGAACTGCTATGATTGTTTAGAAATTAACAGTACCAATCCTCAGTCCAGGCTGCAGAATTTATCACTGGAAGTACTACGGATTGAAGTATTTTTCCTGTGCAAAGGACAGTGAAAGTAAACATGATATAACAGCCAGAACTGCAGTAGGAAAAAAAAAAGCAAGAAAACAAAGTGCAAATTAATCACTTCATAGTCTTACATTCAAGTTCCATCAAACAAGACAAGCACATAAGGAGAAATCTTTTAAAAAAAAATATTCCATTGTTAGAAGTTACCTTCACACCAAAGATACAGTCAGAGTCAGAGAGACAAAACCATTTTATTAAAATGAAATAATCTAACGATACTTGGTGTGCTGGAAGAACAGAAGAAACCTTCTTTCACCCAGTACTGTGAGGTGAGATGGAGGTGGCGCTCTCATCTCAGTGAGAGGAAGCAGCACAGCTACAATTGCTATTTCCTGGGATGCAGGGACATAAAACTCACCACTGGGTGCTAGAAGAGTCCTACACATGCATTAGCGCCCTTGATAAATCAATGGCTATACAATGCTCCGAAGAATTCACAGGTCATCAAAAGGAAAATTTCATAGCTTTGCTTAAGTGTAACCCATAAAAGACCAGGGAGCTGCAATTGAAGAAAAAGCCCCTGGGACAGCACACAACAGACATCTGAAGCCAAGATAAATAGGAGCAATAGACCAGGAGTGTCACCTGGGTGCTCACATATTATTATGAAGTAGTGGTTACCTCTTATATATCTTATTTCGGTCACTGTCATGGAAGACAAGAAATCTGGAGTAACCATTTTTGAAGAATATTTCCAAGGCGATCTCCTGGAAAGGTAAATCATTTACAGTGTGAAGAGCTGCAGAGCAAAGCCTACCTAGTGCTGCAAAGAGTCCATCATGGCCTGTCCAATTATTCAGGGCTTTAAAAAAAAAAAAGGCCTTGACTTTGTATCAAGTGTGAAGAAGTGTAGCAAAATATACCTAATATCCCCAATTTCTCCAAATGTAGGAATGCTCCTACTGGGTTGACTTCTCTGAAGCAAAACCAAACTCCAGATATTGGTTCCATCACCCGCCTCCTCCTGCTTTTTCTGAAGCATTTTTATCTTGAAATCTCAGTGTAATTAACAAGACACTAGTAGCATTAACTTCTCATTAGGTGAGAAAGATAACACGAAGAGGGGATGCTAAGTAAGAGTTTCTTTTAGAAAGCAACCATACTGCTTTCTAAATGAATAGTGAGCTCAACAGAAATGCCAAAATAATTTCTCCTGACTAGAAGCAGCAGAGGAGGAAAGGAAGTTTATGACATTTCTCACTGAAGCTTTATAATCAAAGCTGAAAACTTCACCCCCTTATTTCCACAATGTCTCCACACATTCTTATGTTGGTCATTTGCTTATAATCCTATTATTTATTCAGTGAGTGGTCCTTTTTTCCCCAAAGTCAGTCAAGTAAAACTATAAATAACGTGCAGTGTCTGGAAACCCAGACATGAGTTTCAATCCAAATACGGCAGGTGCAATACAAACCTAGAAAAACACCACAATGGCAACTGCTCCATACATGATTCACAAATGAAGTACAAAGCAGAAAGGTAACATGAGACCAGCTATGACAATAAACAGCTTGCAGCATTTGCTCTGAAGCTCAGCTTTCCAAACCAAGTCTGCTCAAGTGTCGCCATTACAAAATTGGGCCATGTGGTTTCACAGTGCTTTGCTCTGAGCTGGGCTATGTGCATGAACAGGAGATCAGCTCTCCGAGGCACAGTAGCTGCCTAAACAGCTGATACACCTGTCCTGTAGGGA